TTGCAGTTATTGTAAATCATCTGTGCGATTATTCTCTCTATATCATCTAAAACCTTTTTAAAATGTTTAATTAAAACACATTCATCCTTTTAGTTACTTTGATATATTTTTGCAACTTACATTTGTTGGAGTCATTCATTTTACATCAAACTGTAGGCCTATCATTCACTTTTAAAAATTACTATCATAGATCCTTTCTTTAAAAGTATTCACTTTAAAACTTCAATCTTTTGACCTTGTTTTTATCTCTCATTTCTCAGACAAAAAATTGTAATGTCGTCATTTAAACACGGATCTACTTCCAAACCCACATTAATACCAGAAATGTGTTGTCTGTCACATTTTAAAACACATTCTCTGTGGGCATTTACAGTTACGCGTTAAATGATCCTGCTGACCACAATTAATACACTCTCTATCTGCTCCAACTTACTGACACACTTGAAGCAGTGTGTCCCACTCAGGAATGCACACAGAGCCACTGATAAGCAGTTCTCTGTATTCTTTTATAGTCCACCAGTGGCGGATTTAATCACAATAGTCCAATCATAATCTTCTTCATTATTATTGACAGAACATTAATTTTCATAAGCTGCATCGAAATGCTCAAAATATTCGAAGTTGTTTTCACAAAGTTTCTTGACTACTTTGGTCACTTGTCCTGGGAAATTATCCCTGACCCAAAATTATCAAAATTTTATAAAACAGTAGCTTATTTCAATGTCAATCATCCTTACTGATTTCCAGAATCTTTGGACATAGCTGTCTTAACATTTTTACATTCATGATGAACGCAGCCACAACAGCCTGTTTGCTTTTCGCTGCCCTGTTCCACTGATTTCTTCACTAGCCTACCTTTAGCCTGGTAGCGCTCAGTGTTCCCTCACTGGGAAAATCATGATACTTTATCAATTTTCTATATCCACACATTTCTGCCCATAATGTTTTCTCATTTGACCAAAACACCGGTGTATCATATCTGGCAAGCTTGTTCTGAGATTTCCCCATACTGGCTGTTTCTATTTCCCCCTGTGGATTTTCCTTCGACGCGTCTAATAATCTGTCGGACGTCTCCAACAGATCCGATCTCTTAACCCAAGATCGGTCAAGGTGCACTCCCAGCGCTTTATCTACTGGAAATCTTTTGACCCCGCTGCAGATCTTCAATTACCCCACAGATTAGAGTCCACCTGAAATCTCTTGACCTGCTTTCAGCTCTCAAGTGATCTCGGACCGTAATCTGGGCGAAATCTCTGACCTGACAAATGTCAATTAATTTCAGATTTACGAAAACTCAGTGTCCATATGAAATTTCTTGACCTGACAACAGGTCTCAATTAATCTTGGACTACTCTCTTATTCGCAACCACCGAAATAGACCCCAGCCAGTACAGTTCCTCTCAATTATATACCCAATATAAAATGAATTTAGCTGTGTCTTACCAGGATGTCTTTTCTCTGTGCCTCGGGTTCTTTTTATTCCAGTGGAGCCTCTCCTGGGCCTGATAGCGGTCGGCCCTCTCTCTCAAGCTTACGAGGTAGAGCTGGAACTGCTCAGTCCAGGTGGCCAAACACCGTCCGCTCTCAGGTCCAGAAGGCACTTCCAAGGAATCCCACTTCTGACACCAATTGTTAAGGCAAAAATTCAATAAACAGACATCACTTCGTAAGAGACACTCTGAGTCAAATTAATAAAGGAAAAGGTTTATTATTCTTGCAAGAACAATAAGGCTCAATCACCAACACAGATCACTGCGAAGTGGAGTGACGCCCAGAACACAGGCCGGGGTGAAGACTAAATAGCCCTCCCCAAGGTTATTTACTGCAAGCCGAGCCTTCTCTGTAAATTTCCACAAAGTTATAGGATTCATGATGCCAGGTTAGATTTACTAACCCCCTCAACCCCTCCCAGTCTAAGATGACCCCTGACCCGGCCGGTCCTCTGGTGCCTAGCTCCACTCTTGATAAGGGAGAACAATTAATACATGTGAGATTAAAATTTCCACAACACTTCATACTATGCTCATATTTTCTGTTTTTCGTCAACCAAAGCTTACTGCACATACATTTGACACACCATTTTGTCTCCCCTCATTAAATTCAAATTTGAACAAAGCCTGCGCAATCCCATAATACCACACTACAGTAAGTTATTGTAAAAACGAATGAGCTACAGTAACAACAGCTCCTTCTGGTGACATGGAAATACTGTATACTGTTAACAACTGTAAAACATTGTCTTCCAGGTTGCAGGTTTAACTTCCAATGAAGACACAGTACATCACAAAACATCACTTCAAGAGGAACATTAGTAACTGACGGGACTAGTGTCAGCATGTCTGTCTTCCATGCTGGAGAGCCCTGGTTTGAATCCTGCTTGGAGTGTGTAGATTAGGAAACTGTGTTTGCTCACAATATTTTTTTGTAAACGCAGTTTCTCGAGGGAACACAAAACATTTTGTGAGGGAATGCAAAGTTTTTCGGGTGAATGCAAAACCTTTGTGAGAGAACACAAAGGCATTGAGAATATTTTTTGTCCCATATAATTTTTCCTCCATCGTGTCCCTTTAGGTGCTTCGTAGATTCCACAGATAATGTGTGCAATTTTTCTTTGCTTTAAACGAGTTTTCTCTTGTTCAGTATTTATCTTTTTTAAATAAAAGCATAAAATAACTAGATTCCGGGCACTCAAATGAGACTGCCCTGCTCTCAGTAATTGAAACTCTGAGACTGGCAAGAGCAGCTTCCAAATCCTCAGTACTCATCTTGCAGGATCTGTCTGTTGCTTTTGACACAGTTAACCACCAGATCCTCCTGTCAACCCTCAAGACACAGGGGATCTCGAGAACCACACTCCAATGGTTCAAGTCTTACCACTCAGGTAGGTCCTTCAGGGTGCTGTCACTACTTCCCCATCCATTCGTCAACCATACAGCCAGGAACCTTGGACTTGTGATTGTCTGTTGAACTTTACATGCCACTGCTAGAACTGCCTGTCCTGCAGATTTGCTCTACAACAGAGGATCAGGCCCTTACTACCAGAGCATGCTACACAACTTCTTGTCCAGGCTATACATACTGTTTTATACATACTGGACTATAGTAATGCTCTCCTGGCTGGTCTCTGCAACTGATTCAGAATGCTCTGGAGTGGCCTTAAAGGAGCAAAGAGAGTACACGTCACTCCAATCCCCATACACGTGCACTGGTTGCCAATCAATGCTCGCATCAAATTCAAGGCACTGATGTTTGCCTACAAAACAATCTGGCTCTGCAACCTTATACCTAAACTCACTACTTCAGACTTATATGCCCTTCAGAAGCTTAATTTCTGCCATTGAACTGTGCCTTGTGGTGCCATTCAAAGAGGTACTGTACAAAATTCCTTTCACAGACCTTCACCCTGACCGTTCCCTGCTGATGGAACTCAACCCCCCCCCCACTCCCTCCCTCCCTCCCTCTTTCCCTCCCTTTATTTATTCAATAATTGCTGTGATTTCGCCTTATTGTAGTTCTTAGAAAACAGGAAATGCCTTTAGATAATTCCAAAGTTTGCCTTGTTCACTTGAGGGTCATAATACTACATAATTAATAATACAATATAAAACAATACTCTCTTTTATGCAGACAATATTCTGAAAAATAGTCAGTTACTATATTTTGGATGTATCAGAGTTCCCACACCTTCATATTCTTTCTAAAACAAGAAATTGAAGAACTTAAGATCCAATACTCTGCAAGTCTGAATAAAGTTTATCTTTAAGATTTGCTTGTTTGTTAACTTTGTTAATTCTGACAGTGATCAAATGTTCCCAAAAAACACACATTTGTCTGTTTAAATTTCAAATAATACATCACAAATGTGGTAGAAAATAATCTTGATAGATTTCTAATAGATTTATACAAAATATATTTATTAATATTATAAATCAACCCTTTTTTAGATCATACTTACTTAGTCAAGATATACTCTAGGGACTGTTGAATATGCTTTTCATTATTAAATGATTAGTGGTCAACACTGACCTTAAAAGGATAGTTCACCCAAAAATGATTTTCTGTAAATAATTACTCACCCTCATATTGTTTCAACCCATAAGACCTTCGTTCATCTTCATCTGCGTGAACCAACTCGAGGCCCACAGTGAAGGAAATTAATAGTTGAATAAAGTCGTTATTTTTGTTTGTTTGTTGCTCACAAGTTTCAATCCCTTAGAAGCATATGGAGGAGTGATCCAGCTCTCAGATTTCATCAAAAACAAGATTTTCATTTTTGGGTGAACTATCCCTTTACATTTACATTTATTCATTTAGCTGACACTTTTATCCAAAACAACTTAAAGTTGCTATATATGTCAGAGGTTGCACGCCTCTGGAGTAACTAGGGGTTAAGCGTCTTGCTCAGGGACACATTGGTGTCTCACAGTGGATTCGAACCTGGGTGAGTTTTATCCACTGCGCCATCACCACCACCCTTTAAAATTCATATTCCTTGATGTCCTAAGTGCATAAAAAATACAGCTCAAGATAAAGAGTAAAGAAAAATATCACACTATATTGTGGCATCAGAAAAAAAAAAAGAAAAAAAAACCAAAGAGCCAATGGAAATGGTGACCCCTGCAGGTCAGAGAACTTTCTGCTATGGAATTTACTTCATGGACTTACCTCAGGAAAGTCTAAAATGAACACAAATGTCTGATGTTTACGTCACAGCTGTCAGTATCACACTGTAATTGGCCAATCAGAAGCCAGATCCGAACTATCCGTTTTAAAATAAATAACTCCATTCAGACCTTATACACTATAATCAAACAGAAAATGCTATTTATAATCGTACCCGCCAATTTCCCATGTCTTATTATTTACGGATAAAATTATTTACAATAACAATATGCGAATATATACACGTTCGTTCGTTGTTTTGCTTTGAATGACGTTCGTTCGTTGTTTGTTTTGAATGACGTCAGGTTTGATTTTCCTGTCAGCTGATGCAGTGGGCGTGTTTACGTCGCTGATGTAAACAGAAAGGACCATTTTGATCAGAGAAATCTAGAAGCCAGGGCACAGTAACTCATCAAAGCCTTTCTGATTTCACCTATGCAACGCCTTAAATAGTACTTGCGCCATGGACTTCTATATCAATCTGAAGGTGAATTTCCGAGGGAATGCGAAGAGTTTCTTGCTGTCTGGCTCAGAGACGAAGAGTTGGGAGTCTATGGAGGCCATGGTAAGCAGAGGATGATGATGTCAGTCTGATCTATGGTCTGATCACTCACCTTGATGCCGCAAAGCCTTTCACCCGACCTCATCCGATGCCTGGCTCATGCGATTAGAGTTGACATCTGTCGTGACATTCGTTACTCCGTTTGCTGAGTCAAATAGCGCTAAATCATAGAAAGAATGGGCCAAGCGACCATTTTGCCGAAAGCCCACTTATTAAACAGCAGCCATATTTATATGTAATAAAATACGTTATATCTAACGTGCGCAGATCTTTCATCAATTAAACCATAATTACAATGGGGTTTGCCACACTGTGAGGAAACGTAACACAATGTCACGTCAGTATATCCGACCACTAAATTAATATCTTGGGTAATGTTGACTCACTGACTACCTACTAAGCTCCCTCACTAGACAGCATGATAGCCGCGTAGACACCAAGAATGCTGTCCAGATATGTTGCTCAGTAGGTTTTGAAACATATATTGACTGCTGCCTGTTTTAAGCTAATTATATTTGCTTGTCTATTTGAAAGCACTGTGTAACCCTGTCAGTTTCGAGTGATGTAGCTCCAGTCAGCCCTTCGCCTCGACAGACCGGGCATTCGGGGCATATCACCCTGAAGGACTTTTCAATGCGACTGTACGTTGCCCCTCATTGCAACAAGGTTACTAAGTAGCCTACATTACTATTAAATACTAATTTGAGTTGAAATTAAATAATTACCCTACTTGTGTGGAGATCGTGAAGAGAGGAAAACTAGCTGTGTAAAAACAGCCAGGGTTCCCGGACCCGGATATTTGCCTGGAGAAGGTCATGATTGGCCAGTCAGAATCCTATAGCATATCTTATATAAATCTAATCAAACAAACACTACCTATACTTTAATTGCAATTACACAACTGGTCTTCTCTTGTGTTGACTTGATATCTTTCCCTTTTCAGGTGAAGAGGTCCTTTGGCCTGTGTAATTTACAACTGACTTATTTTGATGAGGAAAATGAAGAGGTGAGAGTGAAGAAGTACATATTTGGGATATTGCATGTCAATGTTAATAACTACTTTTGTCAAAGAAAACATCTTAATGAATTGATCATATGATTAGTTAACATTTCTATCATAATTGTGTGTTTATTTCAGGTATCAATCAACAGCCAACGTAAGTAAATGGTCTCAATCTGTGTATACTTTATATTTAAATTACAGAGAAGAGGTACATACACAGACACTGACTGGAACTATTTTTCTCTTTTCAGTGGAATATGAAGAAGCCCTGAAGGTAAATAAATGATGATTCTTCAATCAATGTTTTGTGTGTGTGTGGTTGTTTGCATAGAACTTATTTAGAGCTGTGGTCCTTGACCTCTGCAACTTTCCAGAGGGACCCCAATGAGATTTAAATTTTGATATATGAAAACAAACCTAATTAAAATGCTTGAAGTTGCAGTCTGTAGTTTTTCCACTTTGGACCACATTGTTACACTGTGTTGTTGTTGTTGTTTGCAATTGCAGAGTGCAGCACGACAGGGGAACAGATTACAAATGAATGTGTATGAGACGAGGGGCAGTAGAGCCACAGTTCCAGGGCCGGGCCCCCCACCAGGATCAGGGGTGGGCTTGGGCCAGGTGAAACCTGGTACTGTTGGAGAGCCCAAGAAGGGATTCAGGCCTCCTCAGCACTGCCCTACTTTGGCACAAGTGGTGAGTCGCAAAGTTCAGGCAGCAGTCCCAGAGGAAGGATTGGTAAGATTTTATAACCCAATGGTTTTGCACAATCATAGACATAGCCACTGTTGTTGTGTCAAATTCTACACTGCAGTTTATTAAGAATGGTGCATAATAATATTATAAAAAAAAAATCATGTTCTGATGCCAAATAATGTAACTGAATTCCATTGTATTGATTTTTTTTTTGTGGTTTACATGAATGTGATATGCATCTGTTAACGGTGTCCAGATTCATGATTACCTCAATTTCTACTATTGTAAGTCAATTACTTGTATGCCACGTATTCTATTTCTATTTTAATATCCTGTTGTTGTTTTGAAGGTAATTGTAAATGAACTCAAAGGTGGGAAAGCAGAGGATAAGACACCTCCAGCTTGGTTCACTTCATACATGGAAAAGGTATGAAAACAAGACTTTAATGTAGGCATGAAATGAATATTCAACTGTTGTCTTTTGGTGTTATTGTTAATTATGCATCAACCAATGCTTCTATAATTTTTTCAATTTTGAATTAAATTGACATAACTTTTCATCTTCTGTTGAAAGTCATACTTCCGACTAGTGACGTATGTTGGACTTCTCCAGTCATTTTGTCCACATAAATGCTTCGCATTTTCTTACAATCAACTGCAAACTCATATGTAGATCTGCCTCCATCCAATCAAAAACAATAGACAGAACCAAGTGTTGTCCTCTGCCTGTGTGCCATAGTATTTAAGTTTCATACTGATTGTTTTTGCAGAGGAGGCAATCCCTAATATTGCTAAGGAAACATTTGTCTCGCTATTTTTCTTTCAACAAAAATACAATAACTGCCACAGTTTAAGGACCAGGTGGTTAGGGAGGCAGTAGAGAAGATTTGTAGGGAGTTCTCTGGACAATGCTGCATCCATAAGCCAGTGGGACCAGAAGCTCAGGTTCCTGAGGTCACTTCATCCACTCTACCTGGGGCCCCAAGTTCAGCTCCAGCCTGCAGCAGCTGCCGGGGCCAGACCGCAGGCGGCGGATACCAATGCAGGTTAGAGAGATCTCTGTGAGGTGGATGTCTGGATAAATATTTGCTCCTGTGGTGCATTTCAAAGGCAAAAACACATATCATGATTGAATGAGAGCTATGATTTATAAGTGGATGCCTGGTTTCATTTCGTTGTTTCCCCTTGTATGTTTCATTGTGTTTGGTTTCTTTCTCCACAGTGTCTGTACCTCCTGCACTCTGTGTGAGCCTTGTAGCTTTTCACATGATCCAAGCCACAACCTTGTGAGAGCCAGAACTCCCCTGTCTATCCCTGAGCACGGCTCCCCAGCGCCAGACCACAGCAGGTAAGCCTTTGTCCTCTGCTGTTTGGGATGTCTGGCTTTTAAAGTTCAGAATAGGCTGAGTTGAACATATGTTGCTCTCTCTCTGAAGGTTTTACAGAAGGGGTGACCGGAGCTTTCGCAAGGCCGAGAAGCAGCGCCTTAAAGCGGAGAAGCGTCAGCTCAAGGCGGAGGTGAAGGAGATCAGGAAGCAGCTGAGGATGGAGAGGAGAGGGCTGCAGTGGAGCACTGCTGGAGAAGGGAGCTCTTCACCCGTCCTGCTGCAGCCACGTGCCACACAGGCAAACAGTCCAGAGTAAGAGCTTGCACCCCATTACCACCCGAGGAAGAGCATATTGAAGGAATAGCTCACCTAAGCCCCTTTCACACAGAGCGTTGATCCCAGGAAATTGCCGGGAAATTGCCAGAACGCCTTCTGTGTGAACGCAAACACTTCCCGTGATTGATTCCGGGACTGATCCCGGGTTGGGGACCTAGTAACATTGCCGGAATCTCCCGGAACGCGCGCTGTGTGAACAAAAGCCAGGACCAATGCCGTAAAGGGTGTGTCATAGTGATAACGCTCGTACCATCGCGCAACTCTGTTGCTCTTAGAAGAAAGTTTGTGTTCGTCATCAACAAAGAAAGGACGAACAAATACCTGCAAACTGGAGCGAAGCAGAGACTAGGAGCTCCTCACTATCCGTACTGAAGCTGAGATCGTTCACCTGCTTTGTGGAACGGTATGCGCGTGTACATGTTTTCGACGTGTCCGTTATACGTCTCATTCTGACGTCATGTGTCTTCCCGGGATTTTTACGGGTTATGTGTGAACGCACTCACAGATCCCGACAAATCACTGGCAGTGTGAATGAACCGAAATCAAACAATCCTGGGACAAATTCTGGGTCACATTATCCGTGTATTTTCTGGAATCTCTGTGTGAAAGGGGCTCTGGAAATCCTATGCTGTAATTTTTTTCAGTGGAAATCTTTTAATACTTTTTTGGAAGAATAATTTCTGCCATGATTTGTCCCAAATGTGAGAACTGATGCTGTTTTGATGCTGTTACCATTTTTAGTCTTATATTAAAATATCAACTGCATAACGTGATTTTTTTGTTTGAGAATAATAGTATCTATTATACTGATATCAGAATTTTTAAACATTTTTTTATTAATAAGTAACTACATTTAATAAATAATATAAAATTAAAACCTATTTTTATTTTATTTGTTTGGGATCAGGACTTCTTTGGAAAGAAAATAGTATTTTTATTGAGCAAGAATACATTAAAGTGATCAAAACGGACAGTAAAAGTATTAACATAAAATAAATGTTTTTTTGAAGTGTCTGTTCCACTATGTCAGTCCCACTAAGAAATAACAGCACACCGTATTAATTGGATGAACTGATCAGATCAGTTTAAAATGCAGTTAGTGATGATAAGATGGCATTTAATTTATACCTTCTTGGTTGCAGTCGTCCTAAACGTCCATGCCCGCTGGCTGTGCCAGCTATGACAGCTCTGCTCCTGGATGAAAACCTGCCTGATGGATCACGTCTGCGTCCTGGGACCAAGTTCATTAAATACTGGAAAATGAAGAACAGTGGCAGAGTGTGCTGGGACTCTGAGACCAAGGTACATTCTGACTCCTCAAGAGACACACAAATTCCTAAACACACACAACAGAAAAATAAACATATATTGTGTCCCATTTTTACCTCAGTTGAAGTTCATGTGGGGAAACCTGGCAGTGGGCTCAGGCGAAAGATGGCGGGAGGTCGCAGTACCCACTCTACAGCCAGGTCAGGTGGGTGTGGTCAGCGTGGCTCTTTGTGCTCCGACATTGGAAGGCACCTACACATCCCATTGGCGCCTGGCACACAGAGGAGAGCAGTTTGGGCCGCGTGTTTGGTGCAGCATCGTTGTGGATCCACATGCACCTACAGCCATCTGTGCTGACGGGCTGCTGGTGTCTCCCTGTGTCACCCCTCAGGTAAGACACCCCAGAAATCTTTATATATGTAGTAGGGATGTGACGGTGAGGATTTTTTTTACCACTACATACAACTTGAAACCTTTGGCAGCCCTGAAATTATTAAATTACTAAAACTGAAACTTGAACTAGCCATTTTTTACCCACTTCGGTCCTTTCAGGAGAAGTCTTCCCGCACTCTTGAGAGGGAGGAGAAATGCCGGGCCTCAAGGGATCAACTAGTTTTGTCCGTGAACCAGGACTGTGATCAGGAATTCTACATTCCATCTGTGGATTTACTCACAGCTCAGGTATGTGCAATCAGCATGATTCAGTAATTCCATCACACACGTTTTGTGTTTCTCGTTCTCCCATCATGTTTCATGAAGAAACTTTTGACTCCATTGCCAATTTCACATACTCTTGCCTTTTACTTAGGACTTACTGTCTTTTGAACTGCTGGACATCAACATTGTGCAGGAGCTGGAGAGCGTGCCCAACAACACTCCTGCAGGTCACTTTAAAACTGGAATAAGTATCTAATGTGTTCCTTAGATTGATGAGATTAGATGATAACTTTTTTTTCTCTCTCTCTCTCTTTGTCTGTAAATGTATAAAGACATTACTCCTTGCATATCGCCTTTGCCCCATGATGGACCTCTTCAGGAGAAGCCAACATTGGGGCTGATCCAAGAAGAAACAGAAGCCCAAGGAGTCAGCAGCATCCTGGGTAAATTTTACAGCAGAACATTTCTTCACTTTTGTCTGTATGTTACTGTCGATGATTACATAGCTGTTTATATTTCTGTACTGTCTCTGATGTCTTGTTCACAGATGTGGCTCAGGGCACAGAGTTAGAGGGAGTCCCAGCACAAGAGAAAGGACAGGAGAGCATCACTGGACCTCAGTTTGTCAGTCCATCTGTTATCCGCTCTCTCACCCTTGAAGTAGCAGAGCATGGGACCCTGTGTGGGAGATTCCCAGCTAAAGGTTTGTGCTTGGAACATTTACAGTACTTTTCATAATAAGCGCAAATCAGTCAGTCTCTGCCTGGCTCACTTATGGGGTGGTGGTGGCGCAGTGGATAAGACACATGCCTTTGACGTGAGAGACCCGGGTTCGAATCCACTGTGAGACACCAATGTGTCCCTGAGCAAGACACTTAACCCCTTTGGATTAATCGCTTTGGGTAAAAGTGTCAGCTAAATGAATAAATGTAAATATTATAAAATAGAAAATATTAATTGTTATTGTTACTTTTTTGTTTTGGTATTGACCTGGCATAAAGTACTTTATTTTACATTTACAATCTATTATACCAAATCAGCATATTCAAATTATTTCTTAAGGATCATGTGACACTTAAGACTGGAGTGATGATGCTGAAAATGTAGCTTTGCCATCAAAGTTAAATAAAATAAAATAAAAAAACCTTTTTTTAGATATATTAATATAGAAAACAGTTATTTTTAAATAGTAATAATATTTCACAATATTGCCGTTTTTACTGTATTTTTGATCAAATATATGAAGCTTTGGTGAGCATAAGATGTTTGCAGTTTTTGTGAAAGTTATAAGATTTACCTTTACATTTTTAATGATTTACTTACATTTAATTTGTGCCATTTCAAGTGGTGCGCCCAGCCCCCCAAGGTTCAATGTCACTTTGTGAGAGGAAATCAGAAAAAGTTCCAGAAACAGGAAACCTGTTAATATCTGCTCCAGCCCCACTGAAAGTAGAGACGTCACGAGTCTCCAGCTCTGCTTCACCACAGACAGAGACGGCTGAGATGGCTGCTCCCCTGCTGCCGCTTCCAACTGAACTCATTAGCACAGGTAACGGGGCATTGAGAATACTTATTTCCCACCACTTTATAGTTGTATTTGTAATCATCAGATGATTCAAGTCGTCAACTTCTTACCAATCACAGTAAACTGTCTAGTCATTAAAGTGATTTTTCTTATGTCCAGATGAGGGTCACGAGTCCGACATCGAGCAGATCCTGGTGGAACCTGCTGGTGGAGATCTGGTTGAGGAGGGAGAGGAGGAAGTGGATAAGAAAGAGCAAGTTAAAGCGTCAGAATCAGCTAAGGAAACTCGCAGCAGAACTTCCTCTGCATCTTCAGAAGACTACATCATCATCCTCCCTGATTGCTTTGACACCACCCGTCCATTAGGAGAGTCCATGTACAGCTCAGCCCTGTCACAGCCTGGAGAAGAGCCTGCAGAGGGAGACAAACTAGAATCAGTGGAGACCGCAGAGCTTCAGAGCTCCGTTGCTGCTGCTGCTGTTAGAGTGGATGCTAATGACATGCTCTGTGCCTCCCAAACTCTGGACGCTGTGCCGCTTACCCCTGTGATTGTAGTGGCACCCCGACCCTTAGTCAAATCCTGGTGAGTTTACACAGGGGGCATGTTTGCAGTCAGAGGCCAGTTAAACTAAACCAGTGATGCACCGAAATTTGGCAACAGAAAATATTGACCGAAACAGCATTAAATTGATAAATAGGTCTGAAACACTGATGTTCAATTAGCACTTCTCCGCAATGTAAACACAAGCAGTGTGGTGGACACACATTATTGTGACCAAAAAGCGTCAACATAAGAACGAGAAGAACGAGAACGACACAATGAGACAGAAATTTAATTGATCAAACTTAATTTCCAGTTCTGTTTTTCGCCAAGATGTAAACTTTAATTTCGGTTTTGGTGTTTCTATAAAACATCAATTTCTGTGCTTCACTAAATTAAAGCTTGACGTAATTTTTGGGGGGTATTTTCAACAAAGAAACGTTATGACGTGAAATGAACACTATTAAGATTCTGCACTATTTATTAAATTTATGACATTGTTAGATGTGATCAAGTTTCCATTTGAAGCACACAGATGTTGTTTGTTCCCTCACAATATCCTCAATATCCTGCCCTTGAACTCTATATGCACAAATTCTTTCTTATTTATTTCTGTCTAGATTTCTCTGACCACATTTGATAGTTCATAGCTTTATGTCATTGATGTGTAAAATTTAGCGTTATTATTTTGAAATCAGCACAGAGACACAAGTGCAGACAGGTAATGGAGCAGAGCAGCAGGAGGGGAGTGATCCTACGGAGCCAGGAGATAAGGAGACAGGTGAGTGAAACATCTTGGGATATTAAAGTAATAATCCACCATTGGCCATGAATTAGTGCTTTTTTTATGATTATATATGTGTGTGTGTGTGTGTGTGTGTAGATTCTGAGCCCAATCAATCTGACCCTGAGAACTCATTAGCATCTGCCAAGTCTGAAACAGAAGAGCTCAGGTGAGTTACACATAACAAAACTATTTCCTCGCAAGACCACAGAACTGCACCCATGTCAATCATTCAGTGTGCTTTTCTTTCTGTCACTTGCATTCTCACTCTCTCATTCATGTCTTTCCTCAGGGCCAATAGCATCACTGGTGGATTGGTGAAGGGTGCCCTGTCCGTGGCAGCATCTGCCTATAAAGCTCTTTTCACTGGTCAGACTGGGTCTGAGAAGGCGAGTTTATCGGTTTATCTTTCATCAACTTCTTTTATCGTCACACAGCATTCTTATTATGACAGTGGCAATGGTGCAAGATGCTGAAAAATCTCTTCTGTCCTCTATTAAAAGGAAATAGAAATATTATTATGATATTTCATTACTTTCATATTTAAAATCTTTGTTTTACTTTATCTAAAGATAAAGTCTATGAATAATCATGTTCTGCAGGACGGATTTTGATCAAACTATGATAAAATTAATGAAGCACAAAGAAAGCAGCACATTCAGCACACAAGTAATGTGTCACACTAGTAAAACCTTTTTTTTTTTTTTTTTGTCTGTGTAGCTGCCAGAAGATGCAGCTTCTCATGACGCCATGATGGCTGTGCTGGTAGAGATGGGCTTTGGTGACCGAGCTCTAAATCAACGTCTGCTGCAGAAACACAACCGAAACCTGCTGGATGTGGTAAACGAACTGGTGCAGATGACCGACAATGACTGGTACACTACACGCTATTAAGATGCTGGTCAACTATTTTGTTTCTCTTTTCTTTTCGTTTTCTTTTTTTTTTTGGTTTCTCTTTCTCTGTGCAATCAGCAGCTCATTCCATGATACAGACTCTTACGTTCCATTTGGGTTGTAAAGATAGTGTGTGTGAATCTGTCTGCTCTTAAGTGTAATGGATAATCATTAGAGAAGCAGTTCATCACCGTAATAACTGTGTTTAAAGTTTGTTGTTAGTGGGCATTAATGTTTTCACAGAGATGGTCATGGGTAGCTAATGAACACTAATAGGTCATTATTATTCCAAAACTATCCAAGAAATATGTCATGCTTTTAATGAATACTTGATTTGAAAGAACAGTGTATTTAACCACAAATTATTCTAATAGTTAAAAAAGAAAATTTCTGCAGTGTGACTGGATATTTTCCATATTTAAAGAGTTTTGTGTTCCCAGGTTTTGGAAAAGTGCAATAGATCTGGCTTTGTGTGGACTGTCTTAATCAACAGCCAAGACCAAATAGAGAAACTTTGAGGCTTCTTTAGAGTTAAAAGTAATTAATCATCTTAGCATTGGCACAAGATGACAAATTATTCCTTACTGGAGAAGTCAAGGTTAAGTTTAGTGTGTCTTTATTTTCTCTCAGTAATTTTAAGCTATTATTGCTTGTAATACTTTATTATTATTATTTTGAAGACCATTGATTCATTTCTTAAAGGTAAACAAAATATGGCACATACTGCACTTTGTGAATGCATTGCCATTTACATATCTGATAAACATCATGGCTTGAAGTAGCAATGCATTTGAATAGTTAAATGGATTGAAACAGGCAGTGTAGAGTGTTTTAATTTATGCTTTAAATGGTTAAAGACTGCAAAGGCAATCATGACATATTTAACTCCAATTGTAAATGTTGAGACCCATATAGTGTGAGACAAAAACGGCTTACTGTTCATTCCAAAAATCCAATCATGCAAATGATATATTTTGATAATTAAATAGCTCTTGTATTTAGTGATGAAGAATGTATCTCGGCACTTTTCTTCAATGGGAGATTTTGAAGCTACCTACTGTCAAGAGAGTGGAAAGCATTCCCTATAAATCATTCAGCATCTCCTGATTTGCTCTCACAAGTGGTACATCCATAATTTAACTGAACAATCACCCACTTGTTTTTCTAGAGCTTGGGTTTAATTATATGTTTTAGCACATTCTTTTGGAAAGCTGTAGTTGGTCTTGTTGCTTGCAGCGATCAGTGGAGGTTCTGGGTGAAATTGTTTGGATCATGTCATTGTCAAGCATAATCAGTGGAGACAGATGCGCTTCACTCTGTGTTTGACGCCTGAACGGAGTAATCATAGTGTCTCTGCATCTAATGTACACATCTGTCTGTAATAAATATCCTAATAAGTCTTACTTTTGCTCACTGTCTTTCATAACAGTGCACCACAAATTCCATGGTAAAACTTTTTTTTATCTAAGCAAAACTATATGAAACACACTACACCTAATGTAAAACTGACATGTGTCTTTTTCTTACCAGGATGGCGAGTTACTTTAGACATAAAAAAGTGACGAAAGTAAAATGTCATAGGTTTTGTTTTGTGTGCTGGAAGTTAAGCGTGCCACAATAAAATCATCCGCATTTTGTGGGCGATTTTCTAGCAATCCAATGCAGTTAAAGTTTTTTTTTTCATTCATTGGCAAAAATTAAGTAAAAAAAAGCTCATGTTTATGATCCGTTGATCTTTTTATTTTGATAGGAATGGACGAAAAAAGATTCAGCAAAAAATACTTTTGTCATTTTAACCTCGATAACAACATGCAGTACATTATACACCCCCTTGGTCTATATATGAAGAGTTCAGATGCAAAAGCCTCTAAATGCCATTTGAAATTTTCTTCTTTAATGATGATTTTTATCAAACTTGTATATTAAATTTCAGTAATTTCACTTAAATAACAATTAATAGGTAGTCATCATTGCCATTTAAGTGAAATCACTGAACTTAAATATACAAGCTTGATAAAAATGATCATTTTAGAAGAAAATTTCAAATGGCACTTAGAGGCTTTTGCATCTGAACTCTTCATATATTGAACAGTTTGGGAAAACTCCGCTATGGATACTTGCTGGCCAAATGTGGTCTTAAATGCAGATGAATGTTGTTTCAATATATTGGCAAGCCTATTTATGCAGACATTTGGAGCAAATTAACCATACGCGTTAAGATAGTGGAAATTATGATGCAGAAATGTGTTGCAGAACACTTAAGTTGCCAATAATACATGTGCCAACAGCTCTGAAAAGTCACATTACATTATGTTTTTTATGGTAATATCATACCATACAAAACATGTCTTTACACAGAGGACATGATTCATAAATTTCATCCCATGATTACAGAACTGAGCAAAGATTGTATAAAGACATCCAGTTCATATCATTATGACAGGAGCACCAACAGTGTGAGGATCCTACTAGAATTGCTCCATTTATATAACTTATATAAGCTTACTGGTGGAGAGAAGAGAGTGATGAAGCCAATCATTATGTGGGGACGATTAGGAGGCCATAATGGACAGAGGCCAAAGGGGCAAATTTGGCCAGGATGCCCGGGTTATTATATCTGTTATGCCTGTGTAGTTTATCTTTGTAGCCAGACCTCTAAAAGTCACTCTTTTCAACATTTGAGACAACAGTGTTAAAGCCACACTATGCACTCTGATTTTTTTTTTTTTTTTTTTTTTTGTAAAACAGTGAACTCTAGAGCCTGGTGTACCTCCATTGTGTTACTTTATAATAGGCTAATAAAGTTGCCTATCGTGTTTGCTGGCTTATAAAGTTTACATGATTTCTGCTAAATCACAAGTAAATAGCCTATACTGTAGGACTAATGTATAATTTCATTTGTGTTTTTTTGAAATGTAAACATTATAAAATGTCAGATGACATCACGTCGTATTATTTCATAACATTGGCCGTTATGATTTCATTGGACATGATTATTACAATTTGTCATAATAGTTAGCAAATTGTGTTCAATTACACTATTTACAACCTCTAGGCTTATGACATAATTATGTGAGATATTGACTATCTATGTCCTTATGATAATCGCAGGAATCAACATCAACAGCGTCAAGATGTAATTGATTCATAATCGACACAATTTGAAGAAAAATTACAGTCGGTAAGTAAGTGCACTGTCTGTTAGTTAGCTAGGCTAACAGTAACTTACGCACGCCATAAAGAACTTCGAACCAGACACAGGACAATACACATCACAACACCTGAGTTCAGCTGGCAAACTAGCTTTTGTGGCATGGCAACCTCGGCAATAAAACATAACGAAAAAAAACAACAAATCTAAGAGAAACTACTGTTAGTTAGGAAGTCTGCTTACAGCTCTGGTAAATGAAATCTAGCTAGACGAGGGAATTATTGAACTGGTCTCTAATTATCAACAACGGATGAATGAACAGCACCGTAAAAAATGACAAACTACAAGCTAGCGCAGCAACATACAACATAGAACGCAAACAAGTTTACAAATAAGAGATTTACTTACAAGTCCATCACAAGATCGCCAGGTCAGCATCGCAGTTTACAATCCAGTGCTGCTTTTAAGCCAACGAGTGAAAGCCTGCCCGAGTGGGACTCCTGTACGGTTTCTAGCACGGTTCTCTTTTCCTTTTTCTGGACATTTCTGACCGAGTTTTCTTGGATGCGCGCAAGTAGCTCCAACAGTTGGCTTGTTCGACTTCATGCAGCTCTGCGCAGACCGATCGGCGGCTGACTTGAAACAGTGCATGCCGGTTAGAAACTTTGTCCGAATTGATGCAGCGCTGACTCCACGTGACTGTGATGTATGCCATCAAAGTACCGCGAGAGCGATACGAGAGTAGCCGGGGGACTCAGCCAGCGCAGCTTCTCTTTTTTTTTATTTTTATTAACAACCACATGAAGTACAAAGAACAGAACAAACACCAGAGGGGGAAAAAAAAAAAAAATTGACAATAGTACAAATAATGCAAAAGAGGATAATCACATATATAAAGGAGATACAAACAATGGCACTTTAAAACAATACAATGTTACACAATTTTAGAAGGGGATTTTGAAAAAAGCACAACAAGACAATGTTCGCCCTACAATGACTTTGTTTACCACCAAAACGACTTTGAAGCTGTTATATTAAGTAGATCTTGCATAGAGTGCCTAATAGAGTGCCAAAACATAATCCCCCATTTAAATCCATTATCCTATAATTGTTAAGAATTTTTTTAATCACAAAGCTGGTTGGTAAGTAGGAATGTGTTTTAAATTAAATTATTTATTTTTAGCTGTATAACTGGAGTGTCTTCTTTTGTTTCCCCTTTCAGACTAAAATAACAGATGGAAGAGATCAGTTTAGTTCTTTTAATGACAGATCATGCTTGAATGTAGTGAACAGGTTTGATATAAATATGTGTAAAACATTTAAGTTTTCATAGGTATCCTCTAAATTATATTATTTTTGAGAGAGCAGAGCTTTTTACCACAAATAACTTGGAATGGCCTCACCAAAGCCTGCAGGCAATTAAAAAAAAGGCTTTGCTTTGCTACTGATACATTCGGGTACTAATAAATTAAAAATGAAACTAAAACTAAAAGCTACTATTTGCACTTTGTAAGATCACCTGTCAAACCTCAAGGTTAAAATATGCTAACCTGCTTAAATTCGCATTTTGCAAATGACGCACACCTGAGGTGTAACAGCCGGAGTCAATTATTATGCTTAACAAACCTCAAGACATGTTTTATTTCAAGACATTTATCAGACTTTAAAACACTATTGTTTGTAGTACTATATTCATATGCACCTCATACCAAGACTCTGTTGCTAATTTTAAAATGTAATTTTAATAACAGAGACCCAGGGGCTATTCACACAGAACACTTATTTGATTCCTCTGCACTACTTTTCCATTATTTTTAAACAGTAAACATGTGCTTTGAAAAAACTGAACTCATTTGACATAGTGGTATGGAACAGTAATGCGTTCAGAAGGACATACATAAAACGAATTTAGCTGTGCTTGAAAATAATTGCACACCTTAGAACGTTTGTCATCCAATAAGAATCAAGATTTCTACAGTCTCATAATATAATTACTTTATTCTTTATGAAACAAGTGGTACATGGAGCAAAACTCAATAAGGCAATAAGGCAACAGGTCAAAAGACTGTGACCAAAATATTTGATACATTAAAGAAGTGTAGTGTCTCTTTGTAGCAGGATCTGTAAAAATCAATTGTTTCAAAATTTCAGCCAAAGCATGTAAGAATCAGAGTAAAAAACAAAACTAGAATCCCCATTTAATTCTATATTCCCATTTATTTTAATAAAAAGTGCATGCAGTCAAAGATACGGTAAAAAAATCTATTTAAATTCCACAACATTATCAAGACAATGATAATTAGCAAAGAATGAAAAATTAATAAGACTCAAGTTCCTAAATGTTTTAACAGTTGAAGCCCTATTAGAATATAGAGTAAATTATTTATCCCCTGTGATCTTACATAATTTCTTGAAAAAAAAAAATCATTAATTACTGGAAAACATTCTAAATCCCAATCCATGTTTCAAGTACCCTGGATGCCAGCCCGAACCCTGCCCACAACAGTTTTTGGTCGGGAAGTTCGACAAGAATATGAGTATGACGAAGTCAGGCTATGTTTCAAGCAAATGCTTAAAACAATGTTCAATTCAACAGTTGGGGAAAACCTGCACCTGAACATCTAGCAAAAGAATCGTATGCAGTTCAGATTGCTCACATACTGAATTATTATACATTATGTTGCAGAACACCCAATGTCCCACCCAATGTCACATTACTGGGAAATTGAAGACCTCATACCAAACACGTCTTTACAAAGAGGACATGATTCACAATTAAAAGCTTGTTCAGTAAAAATTCCATCCCATGTTTACAGAACTGAGCAAAGAATGTATAAAGACATTCAGTTCATGTCATTATGATAGGAGCACCAACGGTGTGAGGATGTGTGTTTTCTTTAATTCTTTACGAAACAAGCGCCATGTGACAAAACTCAACACCAAACAGCAACATGTTACAAGACAGACACATTAAAAAGTGTAGTGTATCTTTGTGGCCGGACCTCTAAAAGTCACAGTGTTAACAACAAAACACAATCCCCATTTAAATCATTTATCCCACAATTGTTCGAGTATTTTTTTAATCGCAAAGCTGGTTGGTAAGTAGGAATGTGTTCTAAGATGATTTTCAAGTTTGTTTCAGCTGTATAACTGGAGTGTCTTGTTTTGTTCCCCCTTTCAGACTAAAATAACAGATGAAAGAGATTATCATGGCGTAGTTGACTGTTCTATTAATGACAGATCATGATTAAATGTAGTGAACAAGTTTGATATAAATATGTGTAAAACATCTCATTTTTCATAGGTCTCCTCTAAATTATATTAAATTTGCGAGAGCACAGAGCTTTTTTTTTTTACCACAAATAACTGGGAAAGGCCTCACCAAAGCCTGCAGGCAATTCAAAACCTAAATGCTACTATTTCCACTTTGTAAGACCAACTGTTAAACCTCAAGGCTAAAATATGCAAACATTCTTAAATTCCCATTTTGAAAAAGATGTATATAAGAGCACGAAATAAAGCCACTTAAAATAATATAATCCCTGATTTTGTACCTGCTGTAGCCCCAAACACTAATACTACTTCTTAGGCCTGAAAAACAGCTTCTTAGTGAGCATGGACGCAAAACAAGGCACCTGTTTTTTGCCTATAGCCGAGCGATCTTTGCAGTTTTCAACGCTGCGCAATGAAACTTTCCTGTTGACAAGCATCAGGATCTCAGTGAACTCCAGTGTGGAACCATAACGCCTCAGGATTTCACACAGATCCTGGATGTACCACGAGCCATTTACAGTCTCACGGTGAGAGTAATATCCTTTAAAAGAAGAAGGAAACAATGTCAATGATTGTTTAAAGTGTCACTACTGTTAAATTGAGGGTGAAAATTGCATCAAAGCCAGAAGTACATAAAAGCAAATCTTCACACTGACCCTCAGCCACTGAGTAGCACATGAGGAAGTCTGCTCCTGCTGGAAGGGTGTAGAGCACCCCCGCATCCACCACCACGGTATTGCCCGCTTGACTGTCCACCACATCCATTGGTGTCACAGGATCATCATGCTTGTCACCACGACAAGCCTTGTGTTTAAAGAGGTTTACATGAGGCATTAGATCTGGATACTGCATTACTGTATTTGTGAATAAAGGCTAAATTACCTGCAAGATGAAAATCTTGGGTTTCCCTACAAGGCTACGGCACATATCCCCCTTGAACAAATCAGTGATTTCTTTAATTTCAATCATCCCATCATTAGCATAGATGTGGCCATTTTCCCCATGACTTAAAAAGATGCAAACGAAACAGTCTGAATCCACATGGTTAGCAGCAGCAGCTGAAATCAAAGGAAAATAAATAGAGCACGCAGGACATACTGCCGATTTTCACAGAAAAACTCTTTTGACTTTCCCTCGACACGGGTTATAAAAACAAATTTGATGAGATTACATGAATGACCAGGTTGAGCAATTATAGCAACTAGTCAGTTATAACTACGGCTATTGAAAGAGTAGAGCTCGACCAGTATTACAATAATTGTTTGTGTGTCTGACTACTGATGCGCAGAAGTGATATTTAATAATTGTTAAATCGTTTTGCACATTTTTAAATAAAAATTAGATTATACTGATACAATAAAATTCATTATAAGTATTTTTTTTTAATTATAAATATATATTTAAAAAGTGAATTTAAGTAGTAAAGTGTAAAAACCATCTGTAATCAACGGAATGCCAAATATGCTGCTGATTAACCTCTGTATTAAAGGGTTAGTTCACCCAAAAATGAAAATTAAGTCATTAATTACTCACCCCCATGCTGTACCAACCCCGTAAGACCTTCGTTCGTCTTCGGAACACAAATGAAGATATTTTTGATTAAATTTGAGAGCTGTATAACTACCACATTGGCTCCTAAAGGACTGCCTCTTGACGGCCCAGAAAGTCAATGAAGAAAATGTTTAAATATCCCATGTGCCTACCGTGGCTCAACTATAAGTTTATCAAGCGACGATCAGAAACGAGACTTCCTTAGATTTCCACGACGCATGCGCGAGATTTGCGATCTGCTCACACCAGCTTACACTACTTCAGATCGCAATTCTCGCGCATGCGTCGTTGTTACAACCCCTTGGCTCAAGGAGCAGCAACATGAATGGAGAGGCCATACAACGTAATCAAATTTGCACAAATTTGATATTTAATCAAAACAAGAACATTAAAGTATACCATAAAACATAAAGTTAACAAACAACATCATCAAGCCTTGGACTGGAGAGGGTGAGAAAGTCAGGATAACCAAGCAGCAAGACCAAACTCCAAGCCGCCCCAGCAGCTATCCTCCAGCTTCTTATGAGCAGCATGGTAAATCACCATCAATTCTCCACACCTGTTTCACAGCAATTAACCTGAGGACACTTTTTGTTAAAGCTAATTCAAGATCAAAATGTTCAGCTACTTTAAATAATTGCGCTTTTGAAAGACGCTCTAATTTTCCCATCGTAGGAGCAGTTAAAAAATCCTGTAACAAGTCCATTTTTTTCTTAGTTTGTTGTTACTAAAAACTTTTGAACAAACAAATAAATAGACAACTCACCAAATCCGACTGATCACACTTCCACTGCAAGAGGAAAAGCCACCCCGTATCTAACTAATACATAAACAACTAATTATCTCAACCCTAGTCTTCAGTACGTCCACATGCAGCTCAACTGCTAACCAGTCTACCCGCGTCCGACGTACCAAACACAACAAACTAAAATAAAAAAAAAGCGTTAAGCGCTCTTCAGCCTAACACGGGTTATATGGCTTATTGCAGTCTAAACCGCAACCTCCAAGCAAGTCAGTGCGACTATAAGTTGGTTTTTCTCTCTCTCCAGTCCAAAACCACTAATCAAAATAAACAAACAAAACTTTTTGTATGACACTCCCCAACTTGTTTGTCCAAAAAAAATAATCCAATCCAATTTCCTCAAACCAAATATTCTATTTAAAGAATTTACCAAATAATAACTCTAATTAAAGAATTAACCAAACCATAATTCTAAAAGAATTAACCAATCATAATTCCACTTAAAGAATTAACCAAAACATAATCCTAATTCAAGAATTAACCAAATCAAGGACGAGCCCCCATATGTTACAACCCCTTGGCTCAAGGAGCAGCAACATGAATGGAGAGGCCATACAACGTAATCAAATTTGCACAAATTTGATATTTAATCAAAACAAGAACATTAAAGTATACCATAAAACATAAAGTTAACAAACAACATCATCAAGCCTTGGACTGGAGAGGGTGAGAAAGTCAGGATAACCAAGCAGCAAGACCAAACTCCAAGCCGCCCCAGCAGCTATCCTCCAGCTTCTTATGAGCAGCATGGTAAATCACCATCAATTCTCCACACCTGTTTCACAGCAATTAACCTGAGGACACAAAAAGTGTTACCCAGAGACACCTACTGGAAAAATAAAGTAGTACACCCCGTGATCCATCACAGTCGTGGAAATCTAAGGAAGTCTCGTTCTGGCCTACAAGGAAGAAAAGAAATAGTCGAATAAACTCGTTATTTTTGTTTGTTTTTTCGCACAAAAAGTATTCGCGTCGCTTGATAAACATATAGTTGAGCCACGGTAGTCACTTGGGATATTTAAACATTTTCTTCATTGACTTTCTGGGCCGTCAAGAGGCAGTCCTTTAGGAGCCAATGTGGTAGTTATACAGCTCTCAAATTTAATCAAAAATATCTTCATTTGTGTTCCGAAGACGAACGAAGGTCTTACGGGGTTGGTACAGCATGGGGGTGAGTAATTAATGACTTAATTTTCATTTTTGGGTGAACTAACCCTTTAAACCTGGAATATTTAAGTTTGGCTCGCATTTCACAAAACAAGTTTGAAAGAGAAAATATTATGGTACCTTCTTTGATTTTGCCTAAAACTTCAACCCGTTTATAATCATTGTAAGCCTTCACTTCAAAATCCAGCTCTTGAAATCTGACAGATATGAAAGAAAATGTAATCATTGTTCCGTTACTTTAATCCAAGACAAGAAAATGACTTTCTTCATCAATCAACATGTCTTGTTTTGCCAAATACCTTCGAACAAGGTTCTGTTTGTCTGCTTCTGTGCCAGAACGGATATTCATCCCAAGCTGCCAGTAGAAAGATTCCTGGTTAAAGATCAGAGCCATTCCTCGCTTCTTGTGATTCATGTTATACGCCTCGTTAGGATCCAGACTATATAAACTGACAAATGATATACAAAATTATATACATTTAAAATGAAAAATATAAATAAATGAGAGTTGCTTCAACTGTACAATTTCTACATGGTTACAAAGTATCTTTATTAAGGTGTTACCTTTGATTAAAGGCATCGGTCTCCGTTATGTTCTCTCTGACTGAAATAAAAGACAAAATCAACACAAAAATTTTATTTGGTTTCCAAACAAGCATATGAAAATGTTCAAACGATGTTTTATGCCACAAAAATGTGAACCACCCAGACAAAGATATTGGACTAAAGGTTTGGTCTAATGGTTGTATTGTAGAATGAAGATCTAAAGATCAGTGAACATACACTGAGGTCATGCCTCCTGTATTGTGTATTTAGCACCTGGTCAGGCTAGATTTCAATGGCTTTACAAACAGGTTGTCAAGCATAGCAGAGTTAACATAAGCAAATGCAAAGTTTATTCTTTTCAGATCCTTCTCTTTTGCCCATTCTGCTACTCGAATCATATTCGAGTTATAAACTAGATTCAGTTCTACCTGTGAGTCCTGCTGAAGCGCTGTCCTTCTCCACAGCTCCTAACAACAACAACAAAGAAACATTTGTATGCACTGGGGCTTAAACGGTAACTATAAGTATGAATTCAGGGTGGCTACTCAGCGATAGTAGTCCGGTTGAAAATCATATGTTATGTGCATGATCGTGAAACCTTGTAATTCGTGTTTAGACAATACTAACGTGACTTACCTACTTCAGGTATAATAAGGAATAAGGAAATGAAACCTTCTCATAAACAACATTCACTGTGTAAGTTACACATATTGAAGTTTGTATCCAGACAAGCCTTACCGGATTCATCGCTCTTGACTTGGGTTGCCATCGTTGATTCTGCGGAGCGAATTTGAGTGAAACTGAGGAGAGTTTTAACTTTAAACTAAAGACAGCAGTAGCAGACCTGAGTGACTAGTCAGCCAGCAAACACAACAGTTAACCTATCACTGGGGCACTAAATGTTAACCAATCACAGGCAACTACAATGTTAACCAATCATTGGTCGCTAAAATGTTAACCAATCACAGGCGGTTTGTCGCGGTCGAACCTTTGGTCGGACTGGTTGGACTTGGTTACAACGTCCGCTTTTGTTTTTTTCTTTGCAATGTAATGTAATAGTGATGTACACTACACACACACACACACACTCTCTCTCTCTCTCTCTCTCTCTCTCTCTCTCTCTCTCTCTCTCTCTCTCTCTCTCTCTCTCTCGCTCTCTCTCTCTCTCTCTCTCTCTCTCTCTCTCTCTCTCTCTCTCTCTCTCTCACACACACACACACACACACACACACACACACACACACACACACACACATATATATATAATTAACCATTTATTATTATATTATTAATAATCTTCTTTAGTTGTGTGACTGTCCTTTTTTGTTAAAGCAAATATTTTTTTCAAAGATTTAAGGGAATAAAAAAAATTAGGGAATAAAAAGAACAAATTAAAATTATTTCATTTTTTTCGAAAGGCTTCAAAGAAATATATATATATATATATAATTATAAAATATATATAAAATATTACACTGTTTAGCTATTGACAAATAATTGAATCATTATTTAGAAAAAGTAGAGTAGAGGGGGGAGGGGACTGGCAACAAAACTGAAAATGAAAGAGCATTTAAACGCCTACTCCCCCTACATTACCCTGTTGAGTTTGTTCTTTTTCTTTTTTTATACATTCAATTCATTACTCATATGTATCATGAAAATAGTGTATCTCTTTATTGAAAACAATCTTCACTGGCAAAAAGTCAGTGGGACCAAACAAACAAGCAAAGATTTGTTTAGTCTCTGTTCATATCATTTACTGTCACCATTTAATCTGTTTGGATCCTCATTAATTATAGCATTTTAAGTTCACCCAGAAATTCTATTAATAGATTTCATAAATGTTATCATTTGATTTGTCTACCACACTTTTATTCTCTATATTAACGTTCATATTGACATAGTCCTCAGAGTCATCCGTGTCCACATTGACGTAGTCCTCCTCAGAGTCATCATCATGATACATGTTTTTATCATTAAGTTGAGCATTTTCATAATCATTCTCATCATCATCTTCATTTTTTTTGTCATAGGATGTGTCTGCATACGTATTAGCTGGACCTAGAGACATTGTATAGAAATGAAGAGCCATAATTATTAAATGAATTGATAATAAAAGCAGTGTCAGATTATTATTTTTTTTTTTTATGAAATTACCTCTTTTAAAAGAGCACTTAAAATGAGTTTCCTTTTTCTTTTGCTTTTGTCTTCTCTTGACCAGGAGGATGATTACGAGGACAGACAGTAAGAGCAGCGCAGCTGACCCCGCAACACCGATGACTGGAAGCAGGGAGGCTGAGACAGACACAGTTTAGAGTTAAACTTTCAGTCCAGACTACTGTTTTCAAGCTCATACACATTAATACCTTTGATAGTGATGACCAGCAGTTCAGAGGCAGACGAACGGAAGGTGCGTGAGGACAAACTGACTTCATAAACACAGCTGTAGTTTCCTTCATGGGAATAATCTGCCTCAGGAAAGGAGAAGGAGGCAGAGAGATTAACAGCTGACTGAAAATCGGTGATATCTGAGTCCCTAAACAGGTAGAAGAGGCCTCCAGGATACTGAGATTCAGTGGAACAGATGATGGTGAAACTGTGGCCCCTGGTGATCACGGGCCCCTGAGGTCCCACGCCAAACCACCCATCAGGAGCAATGCGGGGCACGCTGGGCTGCAGCAAGTGCACTAGAAAACAAAAACACAGTTATATGTTACAGAGTCTCAAGCATTAAATTCAAGTGGATTTAAATAAAAATGGCCTCAAAAACGGCATCTTCTCAAGAAAATCAGCAGCACAAACTCAGACATCAATACAGAATGAATTCACTTTCAAGCATTTACTGAATATAATGTAGGCAAAGTGACAAGATTAAAACACTCACCTACAGTGATTTGAACAGTGTTACTCCAAGGTGACTTAATAATGCTGTTTTGGTAGGAGTAATTACAGCTGTAGATGCCCTGATGTGAGACGCCTACATTAAAAAGGTTGAAAGTCGAACTAGATACGTGTTTCTTGGAGGACACAGATGATCCATTTATGAAGAGGTGGAATTCAGCAGCAGCATTGCATCTTGATGTAGGTGTTGTGCATCTGAACTGAATGTTTTCTCCAGGAGAAACAACTGCATGTGTAGTGATCAGGGAAAGAGTGGGCCTCTCCAGGTCACCTGCAAAAGAAATATACATCCATTTAAAATGACTTGTTAAGATGTGATGAAATACATTACGCTTAATGTGATTTCTATTGCTCATTTCTCCCTTAAAAATAAGTCAAGATGCCTGTTTTGACAAGAAACAAATAAGTATTCACTTCAAGTTCCTCCATGTAAAGAAACTCCTGAAGAGGGCAGTGCAGTGAGGTGGAACCTGATAAGTTGTGTTTCCAGGGGGGAAGTAAACAACATAGAGCACTAGAGCACATGCGGGTGAAAAGGTTGAAGAAGATCTCTCTCTAACAAGAAGGAACTAACTCGAAGACGCAATTTGTATGAACATTAACTTAAAATATGTTGATGTAAAATATTAACTTTGAAGTTGTAAAATGTCAGTATTGTGTTTTAGCTTATTTTATGGAATTTTTACAGTACTGATTGATGCTACGCTTTGTATGATTTGTGTTGACCAATTATTTGAGTTTGAAAGGTGTGTTTTAAGTTTGTTAACATTCATAATTTATTGTCAAGGCATTTTGTTTAGTTGATTATACTCTAGTTATATGGTGATGGTGAATGAGATGTTAAATGTTAGTTGAAATAATATCTTTTAGTTATATTGTTTGTTTTGTTTCAATCTATCTTTTAAAGATTATCAACCTTCTGTCTGAGCAAATATGGGCAGAACTCTTTACTGCCCTAGTACTTCAAAAAGCCTTTTAAAGGTACAGGTGAATTAAATGTGGCACAATGGCCTTCATCGTCACAGTATGTTAATGCCTATATCTAGTGCAAGGGATTTCACCATTTCCTCACAGGACGTAATGCTTTCAACTACATACTGTTTATTTACTAGTGTGTTTTAATATGTAATTATGTCATGTTTGGTCTCATCTGACAGTTTATACACTGAAATGAATGGTGGTGAACTTAATAGACATATTAAGTATCCTATACAACCTAATGTTATTCTTGATCACCACCCATTTGCCTCATCTTTTGGTTTCCTGGTGGTCGGTGTTCGTATTCCACTCATGAAAGAACTCGAGGAAAGGTAACCGTTGAGAAAGGCTTTAACCCCGCCACTCCCGCACACCGGTGCATAACCTCACTCTGAGAAAGGCTTTTACGGCCTAGTTTGCACAACCGTAAATTATTTGTTACAACTAAATTTTCTATACAGTGTATTGTTCTAGTCTGTATATTTAAACATGTAACTTAATAAATAACTGTGACTACTTTAAAGGCTTTGAGAATCTTTCCTTTTATCACTGATACTGTAATGTCGAAAGCTGAAGTGATTAGGCTATAACTTTTGTTATCTAAACTTTCAGGTTAAATCTTACGTTATCCTATCGGTTCTAAGAAAGACCTTTACCTTTAAAGAATAAGAGGTTAAAGAATAACAACAACTTTTATGGAGTCAGATTAATTATATTGGAGTCAGATAAATATTTGAATTATAGTCATCCTTCAACTGCCTTTTGTTCCGATTACTGGTTCAAAATAGCAGCGTAAGCTTCCAGCCTGAAGCCACTGCAACTACTGCTTCTGTGCATCTGCCAATACCTCTGCAAACTGAAGTAAATAATAAAAAAAAAGGTAAAGCTCAATGAGCTGTCCTCATGCGTCCTTCATAGTCTGAATGCCATCTCAAACTTGGGCAAAGCTGACAATGCAAAATATTTGACTTACCTCTTGAACAAACAACACCAGCATCTTCAGCATGATTACAGTTGTGATTTCCTCTTCTGTGTGAACAACTTATGAGATTTCCTTCACTTCCTGAACATCCAACATCATCCAGCCAGATCGATCCTCGGCCTTGACCAAAGGCGGCATTTTGAGGTGCACTGATGGCTGAGCCACACTGCAACTGTCTGCACACCACAGCCGCATCATTCATGTCCCAGTCATCATCACACACGGTTCCCCACTGGCCATTATACCGGATCTCCACTCTTCCACAGCATGAATCAGACCCACTGGCCAATCTCATGTCTGGTAGCATGTCTTAAAAATGTCACAAAAAAATAAATAAAAAATCAACTCTTCCAGAGCAGTCATTACTACCATTCACAAGCCTGATACTAAATACACCTAAAAAATACATTATGATACACACATCTTTAAGCATGCTAGACTTGAAGAGCCAGAGCAGTCATGTCTCAAGTGAACTGAGATCTGAATTTAAAGAAGTTAACTAATAGTTTATTACTTACCAGCTACAGAAATTAGAACACTGGCTGTTGAGATAAAAACAAAACAAAAAAAACAGCGACATTTAAAAACACTGTAGACTTACAACAAAAATGTATGCTTGATATAGGCAAATTTAGATTAATTAGGACACCTTTTCTTAGTCATCTCAATGGCTAAAAGTGTCCCAATAAACCTTCACATATCTAAATATTTTTTTTTTTTTTTGCATATCAACTGATAAACTAGAATGTTGTCTATGTAAATATACAGTAAACACTGAATTAGTTCCATGTGTGCCATAGCAGAACTGTGACTGGCAGGAAAGGGTCATTATGACTCTGGCCAGATGTAGTTCTTCCTCTTAATGTTCCCTTTAAGGGATCCTTAAAAAAGCTCTGATGTGTTATAATAATGATTATATTCAGTAACAAATGAAAGAAATATATATTTCTGTCTCAGCCTGTTATATCATTTTAGGTGATTGAACAGGATATTTTCATGAGGAGTCAGTGATGGTGAATTTTAAAAATCAATCAATCAAATGAATGTAATCAAAAAAAAAAAAAAGAAAAGAAAAAAAATTACTAAGAAACAGCAAGTTATATCAAACATGAAAATTTAAAGGTCCCCCTATATGGGGTTATTTTATTATTTTATAATGTTTCCTGGGTTGCCCTTACAATGTTATCATGTTTTTTAGATTAAAAATAGTCATACATTAGTAATAAAAGGCATTTTTCCTAGCCTGATTTTAGCCTCTGATTTGAACCAAAGTCCTTTCCTCTATATGAGGTCATACAGAGGAGATTCAAGATCAGCTCGTCTGAGCTTTCATTTTCTCAAAGGCAGAGAAAGATAGCAAACGCTCGGTTTACACCAATTGAAATTTCTAGCCACTGGGGGACCATACATATATAAGGGAACTAAAAAAACCCCGAACATTTAAAGTACAAAGACTAAAGTTTTTTGTTGTAAAAGCCACCTCAATAATGTTTTATTTTTAAAGCGCATACGCCACTATAGTTTTAGTTCAGTTTCAGAGAGAACAAGATGGTAAAGGCACTGATAAACATTCGAATATAGGAAAGATAGGCTACAACATCTTACAAAGTTAATAAACTTGAACTAAACTAATTTGAATAATACTTTTAATTTTAATATAATAATAATCTGTAAAATAATAATATTAAATATAATCTGTAATAAAACATGGGAAATGCAAAGACATTTTGCAAAAATGTTGAATTTACCCAATATCAAAGTGAAAATTGAATTTACCCAATATCAAAGTGAGAAGAGAAGGTCTTGGCATCCTTGTGTTGTTTCAAAAAGCACTTAAGATATATCTGCTTCTTTCAAGACAAACAAAAAACCAAAACTGTTGTCATTTCCCCTTTTAACCATAAAAAAACCAAAAACAAAAGGCATTAAGATTCCCTTTTTTAGCCCAGCCTTTTCCGAAAATGTCTATTCATCATTTTTTTCTTTTAAGACTTGCAAAACAGATATTCACAATGACATGACAAGCTGTACCTTTTTTAACCTAAAATTACCTTGAACTCATTTATAACTCACTATCAAGCTGTTAATCAGAGTATTATCTGGCTTTAAAGCCATGAAAAATAAAAATTCACAAGCATTCCTAAATAAATTTAAGAAGTAACTTCCTGGCTTATGAGATCTCAAGTTATTTATTATTATTATTATTATTATTATGAGTCTGTAAAGATCTGTCCATCTGTTTTGTCATCTGTACCCAACAAACCAAATTACACCACATATTGTTTTTATCATGTTTGAGTGTTTTTTTTAAACTGACACAACTGTGTTGATATAGCTGTCCATAAAAAAATACATTATCATAGCCTATATATCACAAAAGGTGTTTTTATACAGACTGTTTGAGGGATATTATTCTACTGTTCAATAGAATAAGACTACATATTTAACACTTAAGTCTTATTCTATCGAACTGTCGAATAATATCCCTTAAACAGTCTGTATATAAAAGCATCTTTTGAGATTTATATGATCAGAGCACAAAACTTTGAGTAATATTTGGTGATTGTCTGACTCGCTGATTTCATGAGGGTCAGGAATTGGTTGGTTGGCATGAAGCCCCTGCTGGTAGATAATGGTAGGGTACATGATGGTACATGATGGTATAGGGAAATGCATATTTTTCGTTGAAAGCAAATGTAGCCTAATAAAGCCAAAGTTGTATGATAAAGCTATGAAGAGAAATGGCATTACTGCATTTCAAATGATCTCTGCAAATAAGTTAAATGAGCTGTTTAGGCTTGGGGAATAGAGAACCCATGGCAGATATGCCGTACTCCAAGTTCAATAGCATTCAGTGGGATATCCAAATCACTGTGATTTTGCAGGATCCAAAGAATAGCTATGTTCTCAGAAAAAGCAGTTAACACTGATAAAGCTATATGAAGGGACTTAGAGGAAGTGTCCTTTTGGTCTCCACAGCCTGCGAGTGTGAAACATGGTGTCAGCATGTTCAGCATTTCCTACATAGGCTATAGACGAAGTCCAGAGGAAACCTAAATGGTCTTTGTGCAGAGTACAAGCATTAGAAAATTTAAACTGTATTTTTTATTCAAATTATTTATTTATTTAACCAGTGGGCATCATGATAGAAGGCAGACAGGACACAGGATCACTAACTCATTAGCCGGTTTTTGACACACAAGCAACAATTGAGGAAGGAAGTCACACAGCATATGGAAGTGGGTAAATGTGTCCACTAAGTGGATACAGCTATACTGCTCTCTGAGGTTCCTTATTGGTTGCTTCTTAATATGAGAAGCTGTCATAAAAACTTTATAAACTTTTTTTTAACACATTTATTGTTGTTTGCTCCATTCACATTTGCTAAATTTCTACAGGCCGCATTTTCAGCAAAGCAGTCCAGCAGCTTTGCTAGGAATTGCAAATCTGGACTCAAGCAATTCCAGAGATTTGTAATTCTCTATAAATCACAAATAACCAATATTATGGCTAAAGACAGGTCTGCAGTATTTAAATATTTAGGTAAAAATTTAAATCTTTAATATCAGTGGTTAACAATGTCCACTGAGTCATTTTTCCCTTCATTTCCAAAGAATCATTCATACTGGGACTGTGGGACATTGTTTGTAAGATATAATGAATACGTTCACTGATAACTGTGTTTGTTTCGTGTGTGGCGACTTCTAGCTCCATTTTTCATCAGGAATGTTGTAAGGTGTTCATGCTGTTGTCCGGTGTCCTTTTTTGTGTGGAAAATTTAAAATCAGTACTTTCAACATATAACTTTAAGTCTTTAAAGTTATTGTACTTCTCTATTGTGTGATATTGACATAGTCCTGTTCTGAATCATCTGTTTCTACATTGACATAGTCCTGTTCTGAATTGTCTGATTCTACATTGACATAGTCCTGTTCAGTGTCATCCTGATTTACATTTATGTAGTCTTGTTCAGAGTCAGAGTTGACATCTCCATCATCCATATCTACAATCTCATAGTCATCATCAGCATTCTCTTCATTTTGGTCTCTATGAAGCACATCTTCCATATTAACTGCATCTTGGGATACAAATAACATTAAGATATGTTTTACATATTATAATATTTGCACGAGGCTCCCAAATGAAAGGACATCATCAAATCTTTCTCACCATTTGAAGAGGGGCATATTTGGAGTTTCTTTTGTTTTTTTCTCCTCTTTACCAGGAAGATAATCAGCAGTGCAGACAAAATAAAGAGTACAGCTATTACCACAGCACCAATGATAACAACTGAAGAAGCTGGAAGAGAGATTTTAGTACATTAGCAGCTTACTAGTATTACGTTTCTGCTGAACGAATCAGTGTTTTTGATCAATTTTGTTGAATGAAAGATTCAACTCTCTAACTCAAGGTGTGGTCACATTTATCATTGGTCGGAAAACGTGACTGTGAAATCAGACATTTCAATAATATGTGTGACTGGGAGTGTAGTATGATGGCACAAATCTCGCTGCTTATTTAGCTTGTGTTCAAGTCGATCACACAAATTGAAACGTGCAAAACACAGACAAGCAGAGTGATAGAAACAGTGAAAAATCCCAGTGTTGTTAAAGCATACTTGCAAATAATTGCTACCTGAACACACGACTCCAGCATCTTTACTGTGATCACAATCAGGTCCATTCTCATGAGAGCAATTTGAGATGAACAACTCTTTGCCTGAACAACTGACAGATTTCATCCAGAATTGGCCCTTTCCTTTCCCAAAAAGAGACTGACCGAGTGCACTAATAGCTCTTCCACATCCCAGCTGTCTGCACACCACAACAGCATCCATAATGTCCCAGGAGTCATCACACACTGTTCCCCACGTGCCATTATGCAAGACCTCAACTGTCCCAAAGCAGCTGTCTAAACCATTGACCAGTTTGATGTCTTGACCTCCTAAAAATCAAAAGAAAATGTTCAACTCAGGTTTGAATATATTGAGGACAATCTTTATTTTTGTATGTGATCCTCAAATAAAACTGCTGCTGTTTGCTTTAAAGGGACGGTTCATTCAAAATGAATATTCTGTCATCATTCACATATCCTCAACGCATTCTCACCCCAAGGCGTCACCTTTGACCATGCTTCAATATTTGACGTTTTAGGCGCCCTTTAGCGTCACTTACATGACGCGATCCTACGGCGTCATCTAACTGACGCTAAAGGAAAGCGTCAGTTAGAGGACGCGGTTAGGTTTAGGTGTGGGGTGGGGGTAGGGTACACGCGATCCTAGGGCGTCATCTAACTGACGCAAAAGGGCGCCTAAAGCGTCAGATATTGAAGCATGTCCAGCATGTCAGTTAGGTGACGCCTTGGGGGTGAGAATGGGCTGATATCCTAATTTATTTTCAAATATGTATAACTATACATAAATATCTCCTATCAATTGTGAAAAATTAAGAAGGGCAACACTTGAAGGAGGTTTTATGCATGTTTATGACAACTGTCATTAAGTGTCCTTCGCTCAATTGTGATATTTTTAATGCAAATATGACATTGTTTGAGATCGCACGCTGTCTTTGTAATGACACCTTGACATAAACCAGTACATCACAACGTCTTTGACATGACATTTGTCTTTTATTATTATTATTATTACTAAGACTAAGACAACACAACCTGTCATAAATTACTAAGACAACACATTAACTATTAACTATCAAACTTAAGAAACCACTTAGTTTTATGGTTTAACATCACATTAAACTGTCAGGTGGTTGGTTTTGACGTTGGCTGTCGTGAGGCAATTTTTGGCCTGTCATATTTATGACAGGTCGTGTTGTCTTAGTAATGTCAGGTGTCATGAAAAGACATTTCAAACAATGTCATATTTGCATTAAAAATGTCATAATTGAGTAAATTACACTTAATGACAGTTGTCATAAACATGCACAAAACCTCCGTATTCATGACGTGCCATATCAGTTCTGTGCACACCTATTCAAATAAAGTGTTATCAAAAAAAAAAAAAAAAAAGGTTTGGGACATAATTAATAACTACGAGTAGAAATAGTCATGTTTATCAAAGCTTTTGCAATGCAGAGAAGATCACTTACCAGTAAACAGGTAATCATTTAAAACCACAGCTGTCAAAGAGAATACATAGGGAGTTGTTTAATTAGAATGTGTCATAACGGTTTTAAGTCAATAATAAAACAAGTGGTTTAGAGGCATCTTACATTTTCCTTGGTATTCAAATAAAGATAGCTTTTTATGTCTGACCACAGTCAAAATGAGAACCCATCTGACTATTATTAATGATAATTTAATAATTTTCAACAGCACAAATTTAATTTAATAAGAATAATAATGGTAAGACTTTAAGGTTTCATTAGGTTAACAGTAGTTAATTGGTTAACATGAACTAATAATGAACTGCATTTTTACAGCATTTATTAATCTTTGTTAAAGTTAACGTCAACATTTACTAATAAATCATTAAAATAAAAGTTGCATTTTAAAACATTAGTTAATGCACTGCAAACTAGCATGAACAAATAATGAACAGTTGTATATTTATTCACTAACATTAACCAAGATTAACAAATACTGTAACAAATGTATTGCTCATGGTTAGTTCACGTTAGGTATTCATAATGATACAAATGAAACCTTATTGTGAAGTGTTACCATTACAATGAATAAATTGATGGTATAAATTAGAAAATTGCTTACCTAGTGTGAAATCAAGAAGAGGTCTCAACATTTCGGTTCTTTCATCGATCGGCGTGTGTGTGATGCTATCTCCTGCTCTTCACATGTCTAAATAAGACCTATGATTCACACAGTCAGACACTAGTTCCGTTATTACTGTTACAACACTTCAGCTTCTGTGAAAGGAAATCAGAAGAAATGGCTTAGTATAATTGAAGAGTTCAGATGCAAAAGCCTCTAAATGCCATTTGAAATTTTATACGCAAATGAACTTAATACTGAACTTAAATACGCAAGTTTGATAAAAATCATCATTAAAGAAGAAAATTTCAAATGGCATTTAGAGGCTTTTGCATCTGAACTCTTCAATTGTTTATTCAGAAATGATCCTCAGTATCTACTGACCACTGAGACCACTGTAACCATGCACTGAGAGCTGAAATAGCCCACATGATACTCTCCTGCACTAAGTGTGCAACACTTCAACCTTTCAGCATTCTGGCCACTGACATGAACTTCAACATAGAGTGCACTTGCATTTTTTTTTTGCAAATATTTGTTATTTATTACAAGAACAACCTTTCTTCAAAAATGCAAATATCTCTTTTGGGGCTTGTGCTCTTAATGTGCTGGCGCACTTTGACATCAGCACATTTTTCACACATTTAAGGTTTCTAAAACTTGTGGTTAATGTGTGTAGGCCTATTTAAAGACAAACTCTGCTGTCCACTGAATACACCCTGTATGTTCAGCAGTACACTGTGTTATCAATCCAATTCAGCCTAATTGTAAGTCAACATGGAGGAGCTGTATCAGAAAACTGTTGTATTGAAAGCCTGTCATATTAAAACCTGACATGAGAGAAAGACAGGGCAGATGCCCTGATGTTACTCACCACTATCTGCCTCTATGGTGTCCACTTGCATCGCCCTGAAATTCTCCCAGCACAGCAGATGTTGAAGTGTTGGATTATAAAGAGAAGTCTGATGTCACAACTATTGAGAGTGACCCAACAGAGTGTTAAACAACCCTAAACCAATTTCGTAAACCTTAACAATTATCTGAGGTCAATGAATAGAAGGCTCATTGGGCACAATTGAATTAATGATTGGATCTGTTTTTAGGATATAGGCCTCATTTCTGTTGTATACCACCACTGGATATCTAACAGCAGACCACATTAGAATATACTTGTATTTAAAATATATGGGGTGATTATATACAGTATTTTGTATATATATATATATATATATATATATATATATATATACTGTATTAATGTATGTGTATTAGAAATGTAGGATTTATCTTTTCTTTAAACAAGCTGACAGGAATCCAAGCTTTTCAGTAGAATCAAATGAAACGACAGTACTGTACAACTGCAGGAGGCTTTTGAATAGCTCTGTGCATTTTAGTTGCAGTGAAACATGGTTCACACCCAACTCTCAGATGAACATGTTAGGAGGAAATCACTGACCAAAGGTTCACGTGACGGGTTTAATAGATGCGATGCAGAGCTGTTGTAAACTAGTGTGATAAATCGAATGATTTGAGTCTCAAACACTCTTTTAAAGATCTACACAACACTGTTTTGTACAACATAAATCTATTTATACATGTTTTTCCATGAATCGGGATCACATGGTTGGTGCACATTCCAGTTTGACTAAACAAACAACCAAACTTTTTTTAAACAAACATAGAAACAAACAAACAAACAAACAAAATCATGCAAACAGGAAGCTGCTATAAACCGTCCTGTGGGGGAGGAGGAGTTGAATTGAGAATGTGTTTGCATTGGATGAATGTGTTTTAATTGCTTTTTAAATCACATGGTCTCTTGAGTAGATGCATATTTTTAATAAGTAATTACTTCACAAGTGTTAAAAAAAGTTATGTTTTACATAATATTAATGTTTGTAGTGTACATGTAATCTGGACGAAGGCTATCCACCATGCTGTCATTATACCAGCGTCTGTTGTGTTGCTTCACCTCCATACCCATTCATAAACCCTCTCCTGTGGCCTCATGGGATAGTAAAATGTTTATCTAATGCACACTTCAGATTCTCCCCTGAAGTAGTAGGTCATCCGGGTACTTTTAGTCTATACTGTTTTATGAGTAGGCCTATTGTGAATTCGGACATAATTATTTTGTCATTGACTGGTTTTCGTCTACTATATAGTAGGACAATATGCGATTTCAGATGCAACCCAGATGTTTAGTAAAAGAAGGCCTGTGGCCAACGTTTTGCTTTTCTGTTAAGTGTCATCTTTACTGTAGCCCCCCGCCCCCCCCATTCAGGTGTGTCTGATTATTGTTGCCGTGACTACTGAGGTCAGGCACACCTGGATTAATCAATTTTTCCAACAATGACAGGAAACAAGGAGCTGGCTGAAGTTCAGGAAGTATTGCAGCTATGCATACAGCCAATTGAATAAGGAAATGATTCGAAGCATCAAGAGTGGAAAACAATGCCATCTTGTGGCAGGTAAAATTTATAGAAGCCATAAGCTGAGCAGCCGAGAGCACAGCTCCATTGTTTTATTCGATAATAAAAGTCTGACAACGCTAAATGTTCAGCTTTCTGATAATATAATGGGCTTTATGCACAGCTTCACTACTTTCTGAATTTCAGCCAGCTCCTTGTTTCCTCTCTGCCATTATTGGACACATTGATTAATTCAGGTGTGCTTGACCTCAGTAGTCATGGCAACAATAATCAGACACACCTGAATTAATCAATTTTGCCCAATAATGGCAGACAGGAAACAAGGAGCTGGCTGAAGTTCAGGAAGTAGTGCAGCTGTGCATAAAGCCCATTCACAATGTAACAACATAACAATACCAACATAGTTGTTTGATGCAAGTAAATGGTGCTCTGTATTTTATGCTTTTATAGCCTACTGCTAAATCTTTGAAGCATTTAAATCTTTATGTATTTAGGCCTAGGCCTATATAAAGCGTTCAGAGGCAAATTTGCTGTATGTATTTCCCCGGCGTCGAATCAGGCACATATGTCTGGAAACACGATTCCTGGCTGCATGTCAAAAATGTAACCTATCCATAGTCTAAATTGTTACTTTGGTTGTTTAAGCTAGACTGTGACGCTATTTTCTTCTGGGAACAAGCTTTGTTGCATTTTCTTGTTATCCTTAAGCTGCTTTGAAACAATCTGTATTGTAAAAAGCGCAAAATAAATGAATGTGACTTGAAGAAAAGTGTAGGCTCAGAACTTTCAATACACACAGTAAGATTTTAAAAAGGCAGTTTTATTCATTTTTTTAACAGTAGCCATATCACGATATTTATATTTAAACTGTTTAGCCTGTACAATCATTTTAAATCATTATCTACACTCCTCCAGCAGTACGTCCTCGACCCACTGGGGTGTTTGGAGCAAAAGGATTGTAAAACAATCCTTGTTCATTAAGCTCCCTTTCACCTGTTACTAGATGTGATCCAGAGATAATTTCATATAACTTGCATCACTGGATACAATAAGCAAAAAATATAAGTTGAAACATATGCAGCAGGCTGTGATGAAGCCCCAAAATAAATGCACTATAGCATTAGCATCACTCACATATAGCTCAAAAACTTTGCAAGATTATAGTCATCTGTTGTCACTCTGTTCATCGCTTTTTTAAAAATCATCTGTTTGGAGCCTCATTAATAATAGTATTTTAGGTTTACTCAATATTCATCACAACAGCTTTCATAAATGTTATCATCAGATTTGACTACCACACTTTTATTCTCTATATTAACGTTCATGTTGACATAGTCTTCTTCAGAGTCATCTGTGTCCACATTGACATAGTCCTCTTCAGAATTATAAGAGTCTCTATTAATATGGTCCTGATCAGTATCATCATGATCCATGTTTTCATCAAGTTGTACATTTTCATAATCAGCATCATCATCATCATCTTCATATTTGTTGTCATTGGATCCACCTGTATTCATAATAGCTGGACCTAGAGACATTGCGGAGATGAAGGGACATAATTATTAAAGGAATTTTTGTCAGTGTTGATGGAATTAAAAAAAAGACATCAAATAGTTTTTTATGAAATGCTACCTTACCTTTTTTAAAAGAGCACTTAAAATGAGTTTCCTTTTTCTTTTGCTTTTGTCTTCTCTTGACCAGGAGGATGATTACGAGGACAGACAGTAAGAGCAGCGCAGCTGACCCCGCAACACCGATGACTGGAAGCAGGGAGGCTGAGACAGACACAGTTTAGAGTTAAACTTTCAGTCCAGACTGTTTTCAAGCTCATACACATTAATACCTTTGATAGTGATGACCAGCAGTTCAGAGGCAGACGAACGGAAGGTGCGTGAGGACAAACTGACTTCATAAACACAGCTGTAGTTTCCTTCATGGGAATAATCTGCCTCAGGAAAGGAGAAGGAGGCAGAGAGATTAACAGCTGACTGAAAACCGGTGATATCTGAGTCCCTAAACAGGTAGAAGAGGCCTCCAGGATACTGAGATTCAGTGGAACAGATGATGGTGAAACTGTGGCCCCTGGTGATCACGGGCCCCTGAGGTCCCACGCCAAACCACCCATCAGGAGCAATGCGGGGCACGCTGGGCTGCAGCAAGTGCACTAGAAAACAAAAACACAGTTATATGTTACAGAGCCTCAAGCATTAAATTCAAGGGGATTTAAATACAGTAAAAATGGCCTCAACAACTGCACAAACTCAGACATCAATACAGAATGAATTCACTTTCATGCATTTACTAAATATAATGTAGGCAAAGTGACAAGATAAAAAACACTCACCGACAGTGATTTGAACAGTGTTACTCCAAGGTGACTTCATAATGCTGTTTTGGTAGGAGTAATTACAGCTGTAGATGCCCTGATGTGAGACGCCTACATTAAAAAGGTTGAAAGTCGCACTAGATACGTGTTTCTTGGAGGACACAGATGATCCATTTATGAAGAGGTGGAATTCAGCAGCAGCATTGCATCTTGATTTAGGTGTTGTGCATCTGAACTGAATGTTTTCTCCAGGAGAAACAACTGCATGTGTAGTGATCAGGGAAAGAGTGGGCTTGTCCAGGTCACCTGCAAAGGCTACATTCATTTAAAATGACTTGTTAAGATGTGATGAAAATCGCAAAATACATTAAGCTTAATGTAATTGCTATTGCTCATTTTTCAAGTTAAGATGCAAAAGATTCGACTTACCTCTTGAACAAACAACACCAGCATCTTCAGTATGTTTACAGTTGTGATTTCCTAGTCCTTGGTGTGAACAATTTATGAGATTTCCTTCACCTCCCGAACATCCAACATTATCCAGCCAGATCGATCCTCGGCCTTGACCAAAGGCGGCATTTTGAGGTGCACTGATGGCTGAGCCACACTGCAACTGTCTGCACACCACAGCCGCATCATTCATGCCCCAGTCATCATCACACACGGTTCCCCACTGGCCATTATACCGGATCTCCACTCTTCCACAGCATGAATCAGACCCATTGACCAATCTCATGGCTATGTTGTAAATATACGTTGTAAATAGTTATATACTGTATGCATTTGACATTGTTACATTGTTTGATATTGTTGCTCTTAGAAGAAAAGGTTCTATATAGAACCTTAAAAGGTTCTATTAGTGCTACGTATTTGGAACCCCTAAAAGGTTCTATACAGAACCCTTTTAAGGGTTCTTTGTAACCAGGAAAAAGGTTCTGTATGGAACCTTTTGGGTTCATTCATTATCATTTGTTTTGTCCTTTCCGGATTAAATATTTCATATTATTGGCAAAGTCAAGACCCTAAAGTGTATTTATGAATGCAAGTGAATGATCATGAAATTCAAGATATGGGGGTTAGAAAATGTATATATTTATATCATTTTATGTAGTTAATATCACACGAAGAGTTTTTTCTCCTCTAAAATCAGCATGATTAAAATGTGATATTAAGTTACTGCAACAGTTTAATAAACAATAATTTTATCACAACTACAAAATGTTGCAGAATAATGCAATATATATAAATGAATAATCACCTATAAAGAACCTTTGTACCAAAAGGGTTCTTTCTTGTCATTATAGAACCTTTTTTTTTTTTTAGCATAAATGGTTCTTTGGAGTTGAGTAAAGAACCCTATGCTTCATTATATAGAACCCCGATGAACCTTTTTTTCTAAGAGTGTATGAGCCAAGCACCAAAAGTGCATAGCCTCTTTCCTTTCTCTTATTCTTTTTAAATACAATTATTATTTGGGGCCAAACACTATACGTTTATGCTGTTTTTAATCACTTTTTTCACCACAAGCAAAATAGCACATTCAATGCCATTTTAGATCTGAGTAAAACATATATACTTTTACCCAAGCAGATGACACCTGCATCTTCTTGATGACGACAGTCGTGAATAGGAGAGTGTGCACACTGTGTGAGGGATGATTCACTTCCTGTACATTTCACATCATCCAACAAGATCGGATCACTTCCCCTGCCAAAATAAGCATTGGAGTGTGCACTAACAGCTTCTCCACATCCCAACTGTCTGCACACCACAGCAGCATCGTTAATGTCCCAGGAATCATCGCACACTGTTCCCCATTGGCCACCATGAAGGATCTCGACTCTTCCAGAGCAGTCATTACTACCATTCACAAGCCTGATACTAAATCCACCTAAAATATTAAACAACTCTTTATGAATCAATTCACATCTTACAACTTGCAAACTAGCAAAAAACGTCAGTCATCTCATGTAACTAAGATCTGAGTTTTAAAAGAGTAAAGAGTGACTAACAGTCTGTTACTTACCAGTTCCTGAAGTTAGAGCACTGGCTGTTGAGATGAAAAACAGTGATATTTAAAAACACTGTACTTACAATTAGATACTATAATTTACTTTACTGTTACCAGCACTCAGTTTCCTTTAATACCTTCAGAAGTTTTTTCTGCTTGGCTGATGACGCTTAGTGTCCCAAACAACGTATGTAGTCCCATTTAGCCACTTTTTAGCAACAGCTTTTTATTATTTCAGGCATATTTTAAAAAAAAATCCACTTATTTCAGAACTATGGAACCGAAAGTGCTAAAATTCTAAATTTGCAAGATTTGACCTACAAAAATACATCATCCTTGCCATATGTATAGAATTGTAGTTGCCATATATTTGACTCTTCCAGATGTCGATGCATCCACCATCTTGGAACTGTTAATATTTAATTTAATTTAATTTGCTGTGGTCATCTCACAGCAAACGCCAGAAAAGGTAATGTGTGATGATTTAACAAGCGAATTGGTTTGAGTTGTTCGGACCCATTTCACATTTCCAGGGTTCCCAGAATCGGAAGTCGTCAGTTGGGTAAACTTCAATAAATGGGCAGCCCATTCCCACTCCCAAGGCGTCACCTAACTGACGCCTTGGGAAGCATTTGGACATGCTTCAATATCTGACGCTTTAGGCGCCCTTTAACGTCATTTAGATGACGCCCTAGGATCGCGTGTACCCTACCCCCACCCCACACCTAAACCTAACCGCGTCCTCTAACTGACGCTTTCCTTTAGCGTCAGTTAGATGACGCCGTAGGATCGCGTCATGTAAGTGACGCTAAAGGGCGCCTAAAACGTCAAATATTGAAGCATGGTCAAAGGTGACGCCTTGGGGTGAGAATGCATTGAAATGGGAGATGACAGCAAATTGTTACTGCGTAATTTTAAAATTTGTTCTAAAAGCAAAAGCAAAAATCTGCGATATCATTTCCACAACTCTCCAAAAGTAAAAAATATAGAGATTGATTACATCAGTCAGAAGAGAAGAGAGATGTCTCATCTGCCATCACTCCCTCAGTTGAAACACCCTCTCAGCAGTATTAATTGATTTTTCGTCATTAAGGATACATTTACACAACAATAGAAATGTTTTTTCTTTTCTGTTTTTGAAGTTTAGCATACAGATGACAGTGCTTGGTAACGATTGAACAACGACCAAAATCAATTCATGGATCCACGAAAAATGACCAAAAACAAAACAGCATCAACAGCAGCGTAAACTAACACTGTATGCCTGGCCAGTAGTTGGCGAGGTCCAAATTAGAATTAGATGGCAATAATTAGGCGTATGTAAATAATGTCTGCGCTGGTCATAGTGGTGCAGTAAATCTAGACTGGAAAAGCATTAATAAACTCTAATGGAGCAGCATAGTCCTGTAGTCCAAAATTGTAGTTTTGTTTATTGAATGCATGCCTGAACATGTACTAATACGCATGCGCATGATGTCACCGTTTTTACAAATTCACATTTTATACAGTTTACACTGATACAATTTGGTAGACCATTGTTTTCAAGAACTTGCAGAACCTGTACCTATTTTCAAAAGTTTGCAGGCATAAAAACTCTGCCGTCGTGTAAATGAACAACCAAAATGCATAGTAAGTTTTCGGGTTTTTATTTGTTAATGGTGTTGTGTAAACTAAGTTCTGTTAATGGGTGTGTCTCAATCAGCTCCCTATAGTTCAGTAGTCAGGGCACTGATCAGGGAGTCGGCTATTTTAAGGGCTGTCTGCATCACAAAATCCTAGTGCACTGAAACATTTGCTCCCTAAAAAGTTGCATAATGCACTGTGAAAACCAGGGAGCGTCGATGCTCATTCATGTGCTCATTGCTCACTATATTCTCTTAATTCTTCTGAAGCACGAAATGTGAGTAAACTCACACGATAGATTTTTTTTTCTTCAATACAAACATTTACACAATTACTGTAAATTTCAGCTTGAACATATATGGCTAGACACAGGTACCATCTAGCATTTATAGTTGCCAGATTGGAAATGTCCAAGTATCTTACCAGAAGCTCAAAATTATTGTACAGAATACAACTACAACAAAGTTATCTAGACCAACCACTTTTTGACACGGCTAGCAAATTAGTTTAAACTATCGAGCTCAGCTTGTAACTGACCTAAGTCCAGTTGCTTACCTTTTTATGATGTTTATGTCAACCCAAAGAAGAAACAACCCTATTTATCACTTCACAGCTTTCCGTGTTTTGTGGGTTTTCATGGAACAACTGGGGAGAAGTTAAATAACGCCAGACAGAAAAAAAAGACATCTGGTTGCACCACCGCCCGCTACGACCGCCATTCATTCTCAAAATGGACTGTGAAGAGCTTGTTTTCTCTCTATAGGCCGCATTAATCATTTATTTAACCATAGCAAAAGTACATTTATTACTTAAGTAATTTTTTTTATTTTTTATTTTATTTTTGTGTTTCTTTAAAATTAGACAAATCTGATATTATTTTAATCTCCAATCTGTTTTTTTAACAGTTGATATAGTTCTTTAATGCTTCACTAACCAGCAGAAGACACTAGCAGGGTTTAAACCCCTAGTTGTGCTGTTGGGGCATGTTGTAACACTGCGTTACAATGTGCCCATATTAGAAATATGATATTATATTGTATACTTTTAAGAATTGTATTGAGAAAACATGAGAAACATGTAGATAAAGACTGAGAGTCAATGTTCAGAAATTATTAACAATTATTTTATTTTGAACTATGCTGTATGTGTTTTCCCGTGTGTTTGTTGTCAAACTCAAAAAACAGTTTATTTTTAATTATTAAAAAATGCCATTATTTTATATGAAAAAGTTAATAATTGTATTTTATTAAGAAAATATTTTGGTTTGACTTAGATCATATAGCATTTTAAGCTGTCATTTGGTGACAGCTTAAAATGTTACAATGTTCCCCTCACATGTTACAATGTTGTATTGGGCATGTTGTTCATTTCAACATTTCTTTCAGGGTAAATCAAGATACAAGTATACACTGTATTAATAAATCTAAACCACAAAATTGCTCTAGACATGTGGGAAATTAATGTGGGAAAAAAGTCAATTCAATTCAAATTCCAATTCATGAATTGAATGGAGGCCAATTCTGAAATTCAGAATTTTGCACAAGCCTGTTGATTTATGCAATTGATTAATTGCATTAAATCTTAAACCTGGCTGGGCTGTGTTTAAAAAAATGCTTTTGGGAAACGCAGTCATGGGAAGCAAAGTTAGTTTATAGTTTTAGCAATTTTAGTTTATTGAACAGGTAATTATCACTAAGCAGTTAAGTTGTTGGCACTGTCTTTTCAAAATCAAGCATGTCAACTCAAACATAATGATAATCAATGTTTTCAGTTTAAGGTAACTTTCTGGGACTAGCCATGAGGATCAATTCAGGTAAAAAATAAGTTAAAAGCTCAGTAGAAATCTGAGCGATGACGGAACAGCTAAAAAGATACCCTATAGACTCTTACAGTTCATAATCTTTAAGTAGACTGTTTTGTAAGGATTAAATATTACATTGTGACATGCACTAGCCTACTAGATATATAATTAGCCTATCATATTTTAATTTGTAATAAAAAAAGTGCATTTACCCCATATCAAAATGAGAAGACAAGGTCTTGGCATTGCAGTCCTTGCGTTGTTTCAAAGTGCCTATGAGGGTACTTCCTGCTCATGAGAAGAGCTGATGGTATCTGAAACTAGAACCTAACATGTGTGTAGTTACTGATCTGCCCATCAGGAACTCATCTGTTGATTGCGCACCTAAATGAGACACACCACTAATGTAAAATGATAGACAAATAATGAAAAAAAAAACAAAAAAACTAAAGAAAAATAATAATGTTTATTTAAAAAGAAAAATGCTAACTACACCATTATGGTAACAAAATATAAAAAAATATTTGTTTGTTCATTAAGGGGAAACTGGAATGAAGCTAATGCCCCACAACATGTTCCTGTTTATGTTTCTTTAAAATCCCTTGAATGATCTCTGCAACAGAAGTGAAACTGTTTTTTAGCCATATATATATATATATACTGTGATGCAGTACTTGGAAATGGAGTTGAAGTTTATCATTCTGTGTGACCAAATCATGCTGACTTATCAGAATGGATTCAGCACATCTTCTGTAAAGTTAACACACTGGTAAAGCTGTGAAGCATATTTGTGAAGATATGCTTTAAAAAACCCAAATCATCATTATGGACAGTAGAAGCAAATTTGAATGCATCTTCATATTACCTGCAGGATATAAGTAGGCTACATAAGAAAATGAGTTTTAATATGGAGGTAAAATGTTTTAGAATTGATATTAGGAGGACCTGATGTAAATACTTTTTTGAACAGAAACACATGTAATTATATAGAAATATATAATTAGCAGTGCAGAAATAAGCAATACATCTGTTACCCCAGAAACAATGATAACAACTGAAAAAGTTTAAGTTTAACCTTTTTCAACATTCTGTTCATTGATATGAATTTTAACACGTCTTTTAACATGTCTAACAAGTATTTTTTTTGAGTGCAAATAATTTGTTTCCTGTTAGCTTTAGTTCTTCTTCATAAAGAACACCAACATCTGGTTTATTCAAATGTGAGTGCAGGGAATCTCCTCAAAGGCTTGCACTCTAAATGTGTCGCTGGACATTTGTATTCATATGATTGCAATTTGCGGTTTAATTTTGCAAAATTTATAGAGAGACACACTTAAAGGAGTAAACTGCTGTGCTGTAGTCACATTTATCAAAGAAATGGTGGTCAACCAATGCCATCAGTGCTAAACACTGCAGTAGGACAACTATAGCAACCTTGGGTGTCAGAAAAGGAGGAGTTGTTGAACAGGAAGATGCCGTTTTTTTTTTGTTTTGTTTTTTTTTTGAGCCAAGAATATATATTACCAGTTTTCATGCATGGTAGAAGGTCACCAGTGTGTTTACCCTATTTCTTTTTTTATCAGCCTGCAAAGCCATCTGGACATTTTCCTCTTACTTTCCTGTATGGCTATTAAAGGAGTAGTTCACTTTTGAAAAAACTTTTGCTGATAATTTACTCATCCACGTCTTTCTTTCTTCAGTCGAAAAGAAATTAAGGTTTTTGATGAAAACATTCCAGGATTTTCTCCACATAATGGACTTCAATGAGAACCAAACAGTTCAAGGTCCAAATGAGAGTTTCAGTGTAGCTTCAAAAGACACCAGACGATTATCTAAGACCCTTTGAGTCATGACTCGAAAAAAGATTTGTTCATTTTGATGAACGAGTTTGAACAGGAGAGTCACGAACGCTCATCACAGAACAGAGCAAGGCAGGCCTTTGTGCTTATAAAACTTAAACTTTTTAACTTATTTTTTAAATGATTGATCGTTTCCCTAGATAAGACCCTTATTCATCGTCTGGTGTCGTTTAAAGCCCTTTGAAGCTGCACTGAAACTCTCATTTGGACCTTGAACAGTTTGGTTCCCATTGAAGTCCATTATATGGAGAAGATCCAAGACGTGGACATCTTGGATGACATGGGGGTGAGTAAATTATCAGCAAAAGTTACTCCTTTAAGTTGTCTGCAACAATCATGCCTCAAATTAATTTGAAAAATTATATTCATTTTGAGTATTAATTTAAATAAAAATAAATAAAATGATGGTTTGTGTATCAATAATACTGATAAAAGTACCAAATTTAGCTGCAATTTTGTAGCAAGATGCAGCACAAAAAACTCTTAAAAATAAAGGGTCCAAAAATATTGGCAGTGGTACCATAAAATAACCTTTCAGAGAATATTTTTTAAAAGAACTGTTTCCTTTTTAGAACAAAGAACATTTCTCCAATATAAAGAACCTTTCCTGCATTGAAAAGGTTCCATAGATTTGAAAGGTTTTCCATGGAACCGTTAATGCCAATAAAGAACCTTTATTTTGAAGTGTATAGCAATGCACAGATGAATAATGTAATGTAATAAGAAAAAAACTCTTGTTTTAGAGTGAGACAGCTGAACACACAAATGATGTTGATGTGGTCACACCCTGAGTTTGTTGTAATTTACCACTAAAAATTAAATCACAAATAAAAAACCCACCATGGTCAGAACACACACAAAACAGAAATCTTTATTAACCATTACTCTTATCATCCAGGGACCTGACACAACAGAAACATTTTGTGCGTTTGACTGTATAACAACTGTTAAAGCAGAACAGGGTTTGTGCTGTACGTCATGTAGATCTCCGTTTGTCATCCTTCGAGTGAGAAAAGAGGCCCGTCGCGCTGTGACGCACTATGGCTCAATAGTGATGAACCTTTGGGCAGCGAGTAAATGCAGAATCAAATGAAATGGACGGTACTGAACAACTGGAAGAGGCGTGTGATTTTCACAAAAGTTAGATAGAAGTGAATAGACTCGAGCTCTGTGCATAGTTGCAGTGAAACCGTTCACACCCCACTCTCAGATTAACTTGTTAAAGAGGAAATCATTTCCGACCCACAGCACTGACTCTTGCGACGAGTTTAGCAGAAGTGATGCAGAGGCAGAGCTGTTGTAAACTGGTACAATAATGACATGTTGACACTGATCCGCCATAACTGGATCGCACGGAGAGACGCGGTTTCATTTTATTGATCCATTTCATCCGAAATTGAAAATTGTGTCACCGACTCATCCTCATGTTTTTCCAAACCTGTGTGTAGAACTCAAAGATATTTTGAAGAATAAATCATCTTTGTTTATATGATAGTCAAGTGGAGATCAAATCCACATTGGACCCCATTGACTTTCATAGTATGGAAAAAAGTAGTAGTTTCAAACATCCAAATTCGGAACAAAATGAGGTTGAGTAAAATTAATTTTATTTGTCTAAATAAAAACCAAATAGTTTTCACTTTTGGCAATAAAAACTAAAACGAAAGACTAATCTTTTAGAAATGATCACAGTAATACAAGAATGTCTAATTTTAATATAAAATTTCTAAACAACGCTCGTAATTGTGAATTCAGACCTTTCAGATACCGGGACAGGTGTGTACACACATCAGTGAAAGCTAGCGGTCTCATGAATCCAGATGTATGGCAGGGATCAGTGTGTTACAGAGGCAGAGTTGTTTGTGAACATTAATTAAAGTGATTGTCACACAGAGGCAGTGTTGTTGTTGACAAGTGTTCAATGATTGTTGCAGGAGAGCAGAGGCAGCGATGTTGTAAGGTACAGAGACGACGAGACGGTGCAAGCATCTCGGCACACGTGACGGATGATTAGAAACACAAACCTACCATTTAACATGGCTTCAAAATTGAGATGCAGGAAAAAAGGAAAAAAAAAAAACTTTCGTGTGAAATGCTCAGTTACAACATTCTCAATACTTGTAAAACGATGTGGTGGTTTTCAGACGAGCGTTCAGCTGAAAATACATCTTGTGTTCTTTGTGAGTCTTCATGTTTGGAAATCTCCTTTTTTATTTTATAAGCTGCTGCTAATACTGTGTAGAAGGGGGTATCCGTGTCATTCCACAATTGACAATTACAAAATTAAAAGTAAATTAAGAAACAATATTAAAAAGCTACAGGAAGGCATTTACTGCTCCTTTTAAAACAGATCTCATACACATCTATCGATCACAAGCTGCTTGTTGACATACTTCATTTCATTGCCACAAACTGCCGAGTTGATCATTCTTTTGAAGTCTAATATAGCTCCAAATCAATTGCATTTTAACCTCATCGTACTTCACGTCTTGAAGTACACGCATCGTTTTCAGTGCTAGTGCGACGTGCCCTCGAGCGTGATGATGTGAATCTTGGAGTGAGCGCAACAGTGGGTCGACCATAATCGTGTTCAACTCTTAAGAAAAGTGAGAGAAAAGATAAGAATTGTTCTGCATTCCACCTAAGACAAAAAAAATCTCATATTTCTGTCAATATAGATTTCATATATTCATATATCTTTTGTAAGAAAACAAAGAAACAGAATCAAAACAGCTGGAAAGTTCAAAATGTCCCTGACTTGTGGACATTTGACGTCCTAATGTCCTTTAGCTTGCGTTAAGGGATTGAAGTTTATAAAAGAACGTCACTGGCTGAGAGTCCTTCACAGTCTGTGTGACGGGAGCAGAGCCGGGAAGACACAGTAAAGAGTTGCTTCTGCGCACACACACACACACACACACACACAGGGCATTTGTTCTGCTGTCGTCTTGAACCACCGCCACGTAAAAAGCTCGTCACTGAATCACTAGTGGGTTTAAAGGACGGTGTGAGTTTTGTTCAGGCTCGGCCCGTGTGTAACTCAATTGGTCTTCAGCTAATAAAAGCCAGCCAGATTTACGGTTCAATTCGGGTCCGGTCAAAGTCTTACCGGGATTTGGGTCTCTGGCTCTGGTTTATTTCTGGTTCCGTACGGAGCCCTGTCTGAAGGTGAGAGTCAGGGGGAGTGAGCTGAGGGGCTGCTGTGTGCCGAGCTGGGAGACAGACTGGGGCTGCAGCTTCCTGGTGGTGCACCTCCTCCTCCTCCTCCTCTCGCCCCACTGCCTCCTTCCAGGCCCTCCGAATTCTCCAGCATCTCCTGAATGAGTGGAGGCATGGAGCCAGGGATCTCCATTTTCAGCGTTATTACCCGTTCCGCTCCTGATTGAGAAATAAAGACGTTAGATTGGAATTCTGGCTGATCACGCTTGATCTTCAAAGAGTGACAGTGAATCTAACCTTTAGCGCTGATGCTCCTGAGGTCTGTGATCTTCATCAGCATCTTGGGGAACATGTGTGGTTTGTGAGGTCTCCTCTTCCTCACGTAGATCTTTAGGGCCTCGAGCAGCGGCTCCTGAAGCACATCTACCTTATCTGCCTGCTCCAGATCCTGGCGATCTGAACGCAAGTGCACATCACTTGTAAACAGCTAACCAAGAACCACACAAGCAGGAAATATAATGTTTTTGTAGACACATTTGAGGAGATGGCACAGACAAACTATTTCATGAGTTTTAGAGACTCGATGTTGAAATTATATTATTCAAACAGTCATGTCTAAATGGGAAAAAAAAAATATATGTTTTTATTAGATAATTACAGCAGATAAATCTATAAAACAAACTTAAAATAATTAAAAAAGGTTAATAAACAGTTTGATGTTAAATAAACATAATATAATATAAAAAATAGTTATGGGGGCAATTTAAATATTTGTTTATTTTAACACAGAAATGACCATTTGTTTTATTTAAATAAATAGAAATTAGAATTTTAGTAATTAAATATTAAATCAGAACAAACAAAAGCCAATATTGTTTGACAATCGTTATGAGGCAAATATACTGTGCATCCATAGTTCCTCTTATTTACAGTAGTTCAATTTTTTAGGTCTTTACACTTTGTATACAAGTAAAAGTACCAGGAATGGCTAAATACAACCACAAAAAATACAGCTAATAAGCTGTATAAGTCAATGTTGTGTGATTTCTGACTGACTGCGTGGAAAACTCAAGACAACATACACAGACCCAAACAAGTGTATCTAATATGGTTGAAAAAAAATCTGCAGTACCTCCACACAGCAGACAGATGGCACTGAGAAGCCCAGTCTCTGCATCATCCATCTCCAGAGGCAGGAGCTGGTTGGCAAAAGCGAACACCAGATCTGTCAGTGGACCGAAGCCGGCGTTGTGCATCTGCGTGCGATTCAGTGTCAGACCATCTGAAAATGTCATGGTGTCCTGATCCGGTGTGTAGCGTGTACATATTCGCAGAATCTGAGGAAGCAATTTAAGACGCACAGATGAGCGCTCAACCTACACAACCTCAACAAGCACTTTACATAAGGAGTGAGAACACATGTGAGAGTGTGTCGTGCACTCACCAGGATGTCAAGACAGGCGGCCTTTAAGAGAGTGATCTGATCTGCGATAGTGAGCGTGGTGAAGCCGGGCAGCTGCTTGGCAAACTCGACCGTTTTAATGATGCATTTGGTAGAAAGTTCGCTGAATTTGTCCCACAGGTCAACGTCCAGAGCGACCCTCTGGTCTGAACTGTTGTTCTGCTCAAGAACAAGACAGAGACAACGTTTAGTTGGTTTAATAACTGAGATCGTGATTCATTTCCCACAACTCACCACCACTAAGAGCTGCTCTGCCTCAGACTTACTGTGGTGTATTTGCCAAGCTGACAGAGGGAGGGGAAGGTTTCCTGATGGGCCTTCCTCACCCGCTCGATCATCTGCTCTGTATCAGGACTTAAAACGTAACTCTCTGAACACTCCTGCTTCTTCTCGTCCTTCTTCCTCTTGTTCCGGTCGTTTCGAACCGCTGCATAGACAAATGAAAACAGTATTGAAACCACCTGGTATACCACTCCAATATATATCTTACGTAAACATATGTGGATTAATACGCTTTATATCTAAAGTGGCAAATGCTAATAATAAATTATATAATAATAAACATATGATAACATCTGCCACAGGGTGGCAGTAAAACCCAGTGTTTATTTTCTCTGCCTGATGAAAACAGCTCCTCATGCATAGTTAAACCTCTTTCAGAACCACAGTCTTCTTGTGATTCAATCATTTTGGCAGCTAATTTACTTCAAAACAACAATGAATAAAAGAGGAGGAGATGGATTAAGTGGGAGACCAAGAGGACATATATGGGGATATAAATATGTTGGAAATGAACAGGGATATAGAAATACATTCCTTGCAGTATTTTTTAGAGCGAAAGAGAGAGCTGAACGAGTGCTTTGATGTGACAGTTCAAAAAGAGCTTTAGGTAAGAGAGTCTCAATTGCTAAACAAGCAGAAAAAGAGGATAAATTCATAGGATATTATATTACTCTCAGAGCTCTTCCCATCTCTGTGCGACACTGGAAACATGTATACAGTGGTATATCTGCCTTAAAATACTGAGTAAATAGCACAATAGAGAAGAGATACACACTGTGACCACAGGCGTTATTATACATGCATCTAATATACATCTGATTCTGTGTGGATGCCTTTTTAAGGCATCCACACTACCACTCAAAGGTCCAGTAAGGTTTAAAAAGAGACAAATAAAATAAAAATAAATGAATACTTTTTTTTTCCAACTAGGACGCATTAAATTGATCATTAGTGACTGTAAAGACATTACAAAATAGTTTTATTTCTAATAAACGCTCAATTCATTAAAAAAAAAAGTTTCCACAAAAATCACACACAAAAAAATGTGCTTCTTGAAGTCAGTATATTAGAATGATTTCTTTTCTGAAGGATCATTTGACACTGAAAATGTAGCTTCATCATCATATAAATGAACAAAATTTTTAAATGTTGCAATAGAAAACACTTATCTGAAATTGTAATAATATTCCACAATATATTTTTGATCGAATAAAATTATCAAAGATGAAGTGTCATTTCTGCACCACCATAGTGTCCCCCTGGTGCTCCTGATCAAATCTAGTCTCACCTCAATCTCACGCCATTGCTTAAATTAACATCACTGTCGAGCTGGTTTGGATGGATAGTATCTCAGTTTTTACAATTTTCAAGGAAATAAACCTCTTGTTTACTTAAGTTGTTTCGGCACATTAAACTTGGAGGAGAAAATGACATTGAAGAACGGCAAACTTCATTGTAAAAAATAATCAATATAAGAACGTGTACGTAAACACGCTCTTTGTGTTTCATCCCACACACACATAGATGTGCTGACGGTGAGCAGTGATGAGAAATAAATGTTGGTGGTTGTTAATAACTGTGACAAACGACCTCTGCTTTCACTAAAATCCAACCTAATCTAATCATGTCACATGACAAATATCAGGCTGCTTTAAACGGGCTCTCCCTCAGCGCCTGCATTCCTCCCGCCTTCCCTCTTTCCGTTTTCCTGGAACCTCACAATCTTTCTCTTTTCTTGTACTCAGAGCCTCAATCACTCCTTTATCTCATGTTTTTTTGCTGTTTTTGGTTAGGACTCCTTCCTTTGTCTAAAGATAACTCTTTCTCCCTCCTCCACACGCACACTGGGGGAGCGAGAGAGCGAGCGAGAGGGGTGGTTAAGGATGATTCTCACTCACTTCACCCCACAGCCACATATTCATTTCTCCAGAGGGAGCTGGGTGCCAGCGTGGGCTCAGAAAACACAATCTAATGGAGCCATTAAAGAACTATTAACGCAGGGAGGTAATCTTTCACGACACGACGTGTGCGAAAAGACGAACCCTGCTTGCAAACAACTTTATGATGACAAGAGCGCACCATCATATCTGGGTGGAAAAAAAAATGAAATATGTAAAATAACAAATCTAGGGCAGAGATTTCATTTTGCTCTGACTGAAACGGCAAACTACATTTCAGTACCGCACAGAAAGAGCGTACATTTTAGCATGCTAATAACAGAACTAAAGTACATTTTTAAAGCCACATTTTTTTTTCTTAAAGGCAAAAGCAACTAAATCCAACTAAAGGGTCCCATTGTGACAAATATATCAGAAAAAATAAATAATAAGCTACTGTACGACTGCCTATATTTAAAACCTCGCAACCTTAGATTTGATATATTAGCTTTAGTCAATACTCATGATATTTATTTATTGTCCTAGCACAAATGCACAAGGACATGACTAACAAGACAGCAAACCTATTTATATGCTTGTGCACAAGATAGTCATACAAACATACTTTTAACATCACTATGAAATATGATAAAAGACAATCAGAAATGTGTTTCAATAATACTACTACAGTTTCAGTGTCAGATGATCCTTCAGAAATCCTTCTAATGGTGATTATTTGCTACTCAAATGTTCAAAACAAATCCCCCAAACTTTTGAATGGCTAAGTACACCTTGGATAGTAGATTATATATAAATTTACCATACATTAGATACCACAGTCTCTTGAGAGTATCAGGTGCTAGGATATAATGCATCACAATGTAATCATAATAAAAAACAATAAAAGGGGGCTGAAGAAGGGGGTCCATGGAAATATGAATCTAACAGTACTGTAATGGTGGGAACGTACACACTTTTTACAGTTTAAATGGGTCTTTACACATGATAATGTATATAGGGGCCTTTATATTTAGGAAGCATCTCTCACAAAGGGACAATCATGGTTACCCCAATTATTGGATTTTTAGTAAATGTATTACAGTAACAAAGACACTTACATTCTTTAGACATGCCTACTTCCAGGCATTTCTGCAGCCGGCAGTACTGGCAGCGGTTCCGCGTGACCTTGTTGATGATACAGCTCTTCTCTCTGTGGCAGGTGTACACCATGTTCTTCTGAATGCTCCTTCGAAAAAAGCCCTGAGGAGAGAAGCAAGAACAGTGGTTTACTATGGCTGGATGACTTACAAATGATACATGCAAGCAAAAGACCGAGGCAGAACAGTTATATAAAGTCACTAATGATTCACCAGATATTCACATATTGCGCTATACACAAACAAACAACCGTGACATAGATACAGCTCTCACTCACTCACACACACACCTTGATAAGGCCACCCTTAAAAATATTTTTGTTTGCCGTAACCCGACCGACCCTGTCAATTTAGGGCCGACCCAATTTTTTATTTTTTTTTCCCTTTTAGTCAGACCGACTTCCCGGTTGTAACTTGCGTTCAGACAGACCGATTTTTTTTTTTTTTTTACTCTTCAAACGACTAATTCAAATTCCATAAAATGATATTTTAGTTAGTATTGTGAAAGTTGCTTATGTCATTCAGTGTTCCCGCTTGGTAAACCCGGTATTAAATGGGCTGAATATCAACCATTTCTATATATAATAATAATATTAAACAATTTGTCTGATGCAATTTTGCTATTCCCAGTCCAGAAGAGAGAGAGCGATCTCTCACCCGGAGCCACAGCGCGAACAACATGACAGCCCTGCTTAATGAGTGACAATGAGGACAGAACGTGGTTACCTACACTTTAGATCTGGGATATTATTCTAATTGTATTTTAGATTTCCGCTTTCAAAGATTATAAAAAGATATTTGAGATGAAACCATTACAGACGCATTCTGTCTATAGCGCAACTTCCTTCCCTTCACAGCGTTGCGCTGTCATTTCTTCCTAAAACCCAAACGTACCGTCAGAATCAGCACGATCGGTAATTGTTGTAAAATGCAGTCTGTACTGTTGCTAAACTGCGTACGGGTTCAATCATTAAAAGAGCTATTAAAAGCACAAAAGTCTGCGCAAGAGACGCTGTTCACAAGGTGATGCGTGCTCCGAAATGCACTGCAACGGGACAAGAAAAGTAGGCTATAGCCTCATTTTGGGCTTCATGTGCGCAGCTAAACTATCAAATATACATAAAATCTAAAATGACCTGGTCTGAGATTCATTTAAACACAGTTTATGTCTTAAATGGATGTGAATAGTTGGGAGGATATGGTGGTGCATCAGTCATCTGTTAGATCCGCACTCGGTCTTAAAGGGGCAGTAGTCTAATAAACATGTGACGATTGAGCCAGTAATGGGAATCAAACACAACAAAAGGCAGAGAAAAATCACTCGCAGCTCTTGAATTATTAACTTAAACTTTAATAAGCATTAATCTAACTACGATAAACCATGCAGTGTCATTTTACATTTGATTTACTAAATTAAATTTCTTTTCAGACAGCGCAACACACTTAACTGAAAAGTAGCTAATTTTAGACCTTTCTGAAATTAAAGCACTGTGTATATAGGCTAATTTGTATCTTTGTTTAATTGTATTCTTTGTTTCACCATGTGTTTGTACTTGTTTTTGCTTATATCTCATGTATTTGGGGGAAAAAAAGCCTGCACACTGCTGCATAACAAATACAGTAGATATTTATTCATTTTGTGACTGGCCTAAAAACGTAACCGGTTGTAGGTTGCAATAACACCTAGTGGTGGATGCACAGTTTGAAGACCCAGTCAGTGACGTCACAGTATGCAATTAAAAAAAAAAAAAAAAAAAAAAATTCATGATCACCATGACCAAAATTTTACTTTTTTTTTTACACTGAATCCTGGAAAAAAAAAAATATAGACCTACCTACCGACCCTTTTTTTAAAAAAAATTGCTGTTACTGCAAACCAAAATATTTTTAAGGATGGCCTAATGGCAGGCTGAGCTTGGTAGTATTATGGCTGCTGGGTATTATCTTCCAGTTCAAGTGCCCAGAGGTTCCCATTGGCTAACACCCAGCAGAGCTTAACCCCACATAGACTCAAGTCGAGGGGTGCAAATCAGAGCTTCACTTTATTCTTCTGATCTTAATTACTGCTTGGTCAGACTCTCGAGGACAGAAAGTCAGACTGAGGTCATGAACGTCCACAGCAGAAAAGCCACATACGAGAAAGCAGATGTCAAACTGTGACTGTGTAGGCTTGTGCAAGGGCTTTCAGCTGCTGTGCTGCAACCACGGCTCTCTGGCAGAGGATTAAACCGTGAAAAGCTTCACTCGTGACTGCCACTGGGCACGTGGGTATTAGTGGCGCTCTCGGTGCAAGATTCACTGACTGAGCCGAGCATGAAAAGTAAGTGGGTTCAATGCTTCAGCAGGGCTCCATTAGAGTCACTCTTTCATAAAGCAGATTTATACTGGACAAACAGGGTGAAAACGGATTGTTTCTGATCTAAAATACAATTGGATAAGCCACATTCACAAGTTAATGAGGGTACGTGTGATACTAAAATTATAGCTGATACCAATGAGCCGATTATTTCAATCTTCAAACTATGGCTGATAACTGGACACAATTAAAATGCTATTTAAAAAAAAATGCTATTTAGAAAAATTATACATAGATTGCTAAAAGTTCTCTTTAAATTATCTTTATAAAGATAAACTATAAAGATAAATTTATAAAGATAAACTAACTCATATATTCAATTTTACAATAAATAATATTGTTATATGTAAGTGTATAAAAGCTATACATTGTTGTATGTCGGTTTATTAAGATTAAGTGTTCATATCTATGCATAAACTGTAGCATATAGAATGCATACTCTAATGAATACAGTGTTCAAAGCAAGCCTACAGCAAAAACATCCTCCCCTCTCTGGTTTAAAAACAATAATCTTCAATGCTTTTAGTGGAAAAGCCTTCAACATATCAGTCAGACTCGGGGCAACCAGGGAAGCTTTTAGTGTGTGTGTGCGCTTTTGACAGGTCTGTCCAGTGGCTGCCATCTACAAACACTCATGTCATTTCCGTAGAAGCGCGTGTCCAAGGACATGTCCCGCATGCTGAAAGGACGCGTCCCTCTCGCACTCGGTCTCGGCTATGAAAAAGTAATAAAGGAAAAGGTGAGCATAGCAGATGTGTGACAGAACGTGTGCTCGAGTGAACGAACCGAAATGGTTTTCTAATGCGCTGCAGCCCACAGGCCTGAACTCCCTGCATAGGAGCTCTCCTTCAATGGCCATGTTTTATTCATCCCAGCTCTAATCTTCTAGAGGTCATTGTGATATATGCAGATGAAACGCTTCAATCTGAACCAGTATCGGCAGGCTACTGTAGACGCACACTGTATGAATTTGTATGCTGCTTCTTGCACCTTTTCTTTCACAGTAAACCCATTTAAATTTAGCTGTACATTAAAAAAATTAGTTTGAATTTCAAAACTAGACCACTCGCATAATAAAATACTGCAGAAACTTCTCAAAACTGCATTCAATTCAATGCAATGCCAAATTAAAGCACAAGAGCTCTACACTTTCTCACAAAACAGGTTTAGATCAATAGCGGCCAAATGTCCCATTGATCCTGGCCGACGGTACCCTTTGCATAAGTGCCTGCTGTCTCACCTGGAGAGCTGATTCATTGATCACAAACCCATGACAAAAGTCACACCGGTCCACAATCAAAAGGCCTCTTTTCCTCATCCTGCTTCACTCGCTCTGCTCTGTGCCGCTGTTGGTCGGGCCTGAAAGCCACAGGAATGAAGCTCAATATCATCACAAGGTGTGAAGAATGCACTGGCAAGAGAGGGGCAGCTGGGTAATTCCACTGGATTAGGGCTGCAGCAGCGGACCAGGAAGGCAAGCGGACAGAGATCCAGACTGAAGCAATGGCTGCTGAAAACTCAGCTTTGCCATTACACAAATAAATGACATTTTAAAATATATAAAATAGATATGTTATATGAATGAATTTCACAAGATTGCGTTTTACCCCAGTTGTTTAGATCATAAACATGCATTAGACTACTTAAAAAATTCTTAAAGACCAAACTTTTAACGGTAAACATTTAAGTGTAAAATATTTCAATTCAGTAAACACTGCTTCACTTCTTCAATGTAGTAATTCAAGAAAACACTAAATAAGGATGAATAAGAATTGAATAATGTTTTTTTATATAATTATTGACAAAATGATTGAAATTGGCTGATAATTGATACAAGCAAGCATTGTTACTATAACAAGAGTAAAAGCAGACATGGATGAGTTAGAGGACATTAAAGATGCAGGGCTGATCTGTGATCCTAATCTCTCGCTGGGCATCACCTGGCCTCTGCGAACCCTAGATTGACTCAGTGTTGACCTGCCGGGGAGATCCTGTGAGCGGGATGTGGCAAAGGAGGGCAGGAAGGAAACGGTTTGAGGTCTGCTGTGGCTCCTCTTGGCAGGAGCGCTAAGCCTCTTTAGTGTCTCCACTAATCCTGGACACAAGTATAAACCCCCAGGCGCACTGAGACTATAGAGGAGCAGCCGTGTATTTGTATCAAGTGTGTACTCTATTTCCAATGGATTTAGACTGAAGAGACCATGAGATCAAAATAAGATCGGTCTGTTGTGGTGTGAATAAGCAGTCATGTGTATGACAGTCATTTGTGCTTCATAGCTTCGTCAGATCTCAGGCTCACTATTGGTCGACGCTGGTCATGCATGATGCTGGCCAATAGTGCGCCTACGTTCTGACGTGCAACCCAGAAGCGCTGCGCTGTTACACTATGTCAACAGCTTAGGAGAATGACATGGAAGAAAAGAGATGGTTGAATAAAGTAATTATTTTTGTTTGTTTGTTGCGCACAAAAACTATTCTCATCGCTTGATAAACTTAAGGTTGAGCCACTGTAGTCACTCGGACTATTTTAACAATGTCTTTAATAACCTTTCTGGGCTGGCAGATAACAATTACCTAGCAGCCTATGGAGGAGTGATCCAGATCTCAGATTTCATCCAAAAATGTCTTCATTTGTGTTCCAAAGATGAACAAGACTTACGGGTTGGAACAAAATGAGGGCGAGTAATTACCAACAAATTTTTTGGGTGAACTAACCCTTTAACTAGTATGCCAATCAGCAGGCAGCTCACTAGGGTTTAGAGCACAGCTAATGTACCAAAAACTCAAAGGTTGATCATTCTTAAACACACTGACAAACACCTCAGGTGGACCATTGCAGGATTTCTTTTACGGACCAGTGTGACGGTCACATCTCATACTGGTTGCTAATATTAGTCTGTCCGTCTCATGCATAGATGCCTATTAGGGTTGGGCCGATGGACAAAATCACGATGTTTAGATGGCATCGGCAATATCAGTCAACCACGAATCAATAACCTTAACATTTACATAATCCCCACCCCTGGAACACAATTTATAGATTATCATGACAGAATATGCTAATCAATGACAAGAAGATTGTTAACTCCACATCAGCTGAATAAATTCTACAACTAACTAATCAGAAATGTCCAGTTGCATGCTACTTCTTGTCACGTGTTCTTGAGTCTCTCCATCTTTGTCTGACCAGAGCCCGTCTAACGGAGAGCCTTGGCACTTCCTATTAGCCCTATTGTGTATCATCTTTGCTGCAGTTCCATTAGAGTTCCACTGGAGGTGATCGAGTGCAGAATGAATGGGAGTTTATAGAGATAAATGTGTCTCTTTCTCTCGCTGCTTGTTGAATCAACATAGATTTTATTGTTGATTCTGCAAGTTCAATATAGATTATAGGCCAAAAAGTCGAATGAACGAGTACTTATGTCCTCTTGATTTCTTACAGGTTAGGCCATTGTTGGCCGGAACACGCTAGCATTCTGCTATTGTGTGACGTCATCACATTTTTGAACGGATTTTTAGAACAGATAAGTGAACTTAAAAATGCAATTTTCAGCTGAGTGCATTATCTTAGCCCTCCCATTTGAATGCAACTTTCAAATTACATCCTGAGAAAAGTGGATTTCTGGGGGTGAAACCCAATAGACTCCCATTCATTCTGCACTTGACCGTGAGCGCCCCGCATGGACAGAGACATGTTACTGCAGCCAGTTCAGAAACCGGAAGTAACCAGCCAGTGCCAATTCTCTTCAATTAGACATTCCCTGGCCTGGACTGACTCCGGTTTGAACATAAAAGGCTAAAAGTTTTAGAAATTTTCAGTGCATGTCTGCGTCAGGTAAAAGGACACAAGCTGCTGAAGCTCCGCCCTCTGTGATGGGAGCAGCAGACCATTTGCATTTAAAGGGACATACACAAAAACAGTGCGTTTTTCAAAAAGTGACAACATGCTATATGCAAGCAGTAAGGTATGAGAGGCTGTGCTGTATCGTGAATAAGTAATGGCTTAAGGGCATTGTTAGGCACGATGCAAAGCGGACTGCCTGCAACCCCTTCAGCCCTTACTTATTCACAATACAGCACTTGCCTCGAGTTCCAATGTGTAATATGCATGAAAGCTCAAATAAAAACAACATAGGAACTGCAGTGTTGCGCAGTGATAAATAGAAACGTTGGGTCATAGCCGTGTTTCATCATGAATAAAGCACAGCTACTGACCAATGAGAATCAAGGATTGGAACTAACCGTTTTATAAAAAAATATCTGGGGGGTATTTTGAGCTAAAACTTCACATACACACTCTGGGGACATCAAAGACTTATTTTACATCTTGTGAAAAGGGCATTATACCACCCCTTTAAGGACATAGAACTCAAATGCTCTTTGTTCATCTCAAAACAGACAAGGCTGTAGGGGCGAGAGGAGAGTGATGGGTGCTTTTTGAAGGAAAAGACAAATGCTGATGTCCTCCTAACATGCAATAGCAATGAGAAATGGAGAAGACAGCACATGCAAATTTAATGAAGTTATGTTTATTTTCTCAGCGAGCACCGCTGTGTGTTCATGCGCACATGCAGCTCTCCACCCACGCTTCCCTGCGGCTACGGTTAGATAGGGGGGCTTTGTAACCATCATAGTTCAACTCTAAACTCCTGTATTTCTCTTTATCAGGGAGACACTGTGTAGATCATAGAAATGTATACATGACTAGTTTTCAATTAAGTAGCAAAGGAAAAAAAAGGTTGGAATTCACAGCTGAGCCAATGGGGTCTCCTCCCCCCAAAAAGGTTGTCACCGGTGGCAGCACTATGGCAACATGGGATGACAGAACCACAAAAATATGGAAAGGTATTTTGTAAAAAGATTCTATAAGTGACCATTTTCAAATCATAAAAATCAAAACTAGTTATTTAGTTTAGTTATCTAATTTTTAGGAAAATTAGAGATTTGCTTGTTAAATTATTAGCATTTTTGAAGATTAATTTCAAGTGAGTGTTAAATCAGGTGCACACTGTATGATTTTAAGACAAATTTAAGACAATAAAAATTTGTCAAATACAAATTTTGCAAATCCTAAAAGATTCTACTGATAAAATCTTTGATCGTTAGTTTGACATGTTCACTGACAGCCAATTAATGACCATTAAGATCACATTTTACCTCAAAGTGTCAGAAGATTTGATTCACAGTCCTGACATTTGTCTTTCCAATTGTCTTTATTAGCCAAATTAACTAGAGATGCACAATTTATCAACCACATATCGATATCGGCTGATAAATTATCTTTTTTGATGTTATCAAGGAGCGTAAAATTAATTCTAAAAGTTAAGGAATCTTACAGTGGTTCAAACTAGGCTACTGTATTATTGTATATGTTTGATTCATGTTAAAAGTATTTGAGACATCAGGGCTCCAGACTAACTTTTTTTGCTAGGAGCGCTGTTGCCCCTGACTGAAAATTTTAGGAGCGCAAGCAAAAAATTTAGGGGCACACCTTAAATAAGCTTGCAATGCAATTATTCAAATTTCCCACAAAATAACTGTAATACTGACAAATTCTTTAATAATAAATAGACTTAACATTATGATATGCTGTTTTATTTTAACTTCACAGGGCTCCAGACCCAAAGTTGAGGGCAGCATCACCTCAAATGAGAACTCACAGTTCTATATAAAAAAAAAATCTGGTAGCACTGGGGCTAACAATAAATCACTAAGGTTAATTTAGGGTGTAGATGAAATTAACTTTAGTTTTTATCATTTATAATGTCTTAATAATTAATAAAAGTAGTGAAAATATGTATATGGAGTGAAAATAGCCAATAAACATCCTACTGTTTACAATGGTATTAATATTATTATTTTAAGTGTTTAAATAAGAGTTTTCCAACATCTTAAAATTTTTCGTTTAAGGACAATCTTTAAAGGATGAACAAAAAATGTGTTGGTATGGTAATCACATAAAAAATACAAAAAAAATAAAACATTTATATATGATATTATTGAAGTGCTGGGAAACGATGTGTAGTAGGCTACTTACACATTATCATATTTATGGTAAGAGTTAACTTGCCTAAATTCATGGTTCTGTTAGGCTGATTTGTGGACTGAAAGCCTTCTATAAGTGTTTTTCCTGGTTTCCACGTCAGCGCTGTTTGATCTGATATGGTTTATAACAGAACTCTGCGCTGAATCGGAGTGTTTCTCACTGGATCTCGTGGTGTTGATGTTATTAATTCTGAGGCGAATTCAATGGATTTCTTCTGGCTCTCCTAGTAACAGTAGTTGCGTGAGCGAGATCGGCCCGCGACTGGCAAGTTCGGGGCTTTATTTTGCCTATTGGTTCGGATCGCTGCTGCAGCTCCACGGTCCTAATCATACATGAGTGGCGTATTTTCCACTTTCATTTTGTTTGCATTCGTTGCTAGGTAACGACTAAAGAGTCGATAGATCGCTGATTGCTCAGACGCACATCAGTTTGTGATATTTGTTTCCGTCTCCTTCCCACAAACGTTTACGCGCGCTATTCTTGTCACGGATTCATTGACGCGCCGCTTTACCATGCGTTTAACGTGTGGCAAATTTACTGGTCGCACATGTGCGACTGGATGTAAAATTCAGTCGCACACTCTCAATTTTTGGTCGCAAAATGCGACCATTTGGTCGCAGTCTGGAGCCCTGGACATGGATTTTAATGGTGAGCCTTTTGTTTATGTATACAAGCTATCAAAGTATATCAAAATTAGAATTTAAAATGATCGGCCAATATATTGGTTATCGGCTGTCAAATATAAAGATTATCAGTTTCGGCCAAAATGTTCATGATAGTGCATCCCTAAAATTAACGTTAGGGATTTTTGTAGCCACCATTTCGATTGCGCATGTAATGCAGCTCACGGTCACCGAATGGGTCATCGACTGATGTAAAACTCCGGACAAGTTCTTGCATAAAAATACCAAAAACAAGTGTGACTTATTTAAATAAATAAATAAAATAAAAGAATACAAATATGACCTGACAGGCCATTATCGTTTGTGGTATTTGTTTGTAGCTGATACTGGATGTCTTATTTAGGGGCTGTTTACACCTGGCCAGTTCATGCGTTCTCTCAGATCAGATAGCTATCTGATTTATCAAAACGATTCCATTTACACCTGGTCACATAAATGTGTTTTTGCAAAACAGATATAAATCTGAAAAATTTACATATGTGGTTTCAAGAACCAGATGCATTTACACTTGTTAAGTTTCGTCTGGAACGCGTCCCAGACCACCTCCTGAAGTGGTTTGAGCGATCGGATTCAAATCCGTCTCGAATGCATTTCAGAGGGCATTTACACCAGGTCTTTTCACAATTGGATAGCTATCCGATCACAGAAAACTCATGAAGTGGCCAAGTGTAAACAGTCCCTTTTGACAAATGTGACTTAAGAGTCCAAAAACATTTGAGGGTTTGCAGCTCAATCCTGCAAACCAAGATGGAATGGATTCTTACCTTGCACCCTTCACATGCGCTGACTCCATAGTGGTAGCCCGAGGACTTGTCCTGGCAGACGAAACAAGGTTTGTAGATCCGTGGGGGAGGTGGCGGAGAGGGTGGGCTGGGTACGATCTCCTCCGAGCTTGTGCTCTGGGTCTCCACAGCTGCAAGGGAGCAGAGAAAGCCTTTAGTTTAACTCAATGTGCCATCATTTCCTCACAAGGTTTATAAGGTTCATTTTAAAAAAACAAACACAAGTGTTTTGTCTTTCAGTAACAGTCTGCGAGACCTTCAAAAGATCCCTCCGTTCCCCAGGAAGGCTCAGTGAGGGAACACGCACGCAAGATGAGCAGTTAAGGTCATGCTTGTCAGGAGGACGTCTCCATTCCTGGTGCGAGCAGACAGATAGGCTGGTAACACTCTCTCCTTAAACATTCACTCCGCTTTCTTCCTGGTTTCAGTTGCTACCAACTGGGACGAGTGCCAGCCTTAATTAATAAAGTCATGACAGCCAGCAGGGAGTGGAGGGAGAAACCGCACGCTGTGCTTGAGTGGAGGGGGCGCCTGAGCCACATGGCACTGTCAATGGACTGCCATGGCCAAGAACTCACGAAACAATGCAATTTAAACTGCAGAATATGAAAGGAACCCATGACGACAGAGTATGCTCTCTCCACGTCAAGGGCACAAAACGACAACAAGGACACTGTATTTTGAATAGCTGAAACTCTTCACGTCACTGATGTTACTCCTGTATGAATATAACCACATGTAAATTATCGACTCTAAAAATATGCCGGTGCCATTATCACCACCATGCAAACCATAAACATACACGCACATTTACGCCGCAACCCTCATGTGTCCTGCCGTCCTCCTCTCCCGCTGCCTCACAAATGCCATGCCGTGGAGGAAAATAAGAAGTAAAGAGATATACTGCAAGTGAAGGGAAGCACGCTACTAGGCAGGTGCAGTTCAGGCCTGTCAAAATCTGAGTTACACAAAGATTCAGGTGTTGTTTCAATAACCACTAATCAATGTTTAAAAGGGGTCAATTTTAACATTAAGTGCACTTCAAAAAAAATGAATAAGTTCAAAACTTTCATTCACTTTGACATGAATATTTTCCACTCTGTGACGCTTTGAATGTTTTTGTGTAAGATTTCCATATGATTTCTGTTTTGACAGACCCAACCTTCAGGTACAGGTGACTTAACTCTTTATTTAAAAGGTTTAAGCAGTTAATGTTGTAATGTCATCATAGAAAAAAGTCCTGTTTTTTATAGGAAATCATTCAAGTAGTCACAGGCTTCACAATTGAAATAAAAGTATCTGTATAAAAGCTAAATCTGTCAACATTTAGGAGTCCACTAGCATATAGACCAATGAGCAAATGTTTGGGGTTGGTAAGTAAAATAAAAATCTATTAAAAAGTCTATGCTCAAAGGTAAAACGACAGTTAAAAAAAAAACTGTAATATTGAGAAATATTACAACTTTAAACTTATGTCTTATCTCTTGATAAAGCAATCTGTAACAGCTATATGGTCTGCTTTACCCTAATCCAGTCCCTGTAAATTCTAAATTCTAAAAAACAAATAAATAAATAAAAACTCTATACATTTTAAACGTTATAAATATATAGATAAAACACATTACAAAGACTGTGAACTATGAAGTACTGAATTGTGGAGGTAACCGTTAAAGAGTTTTGCACCATTGCGGTGATCAGGATTTTTGGGGCGTGGCTAAAACAGTGGCTCGATGACGCACTGGAGCCCCTGAGCTCCTGGCCCCTTTCCTAACAAGATAACTAGAGCACATTTGCATCGGTTACTGTCAGTACTCTTAGTCACTACAGCCTACAGTTTGCTAGTAGCTAGCTATATCTTTGTCACGGAAATGCGTATTAACTGGATGCCATCACTTACAAAACAGATCAATGTCCTTATTTAAATGTCCAAAAAATGTTCATATCAGGAAGAGGTGGATTAAAGCCACCTTGATGGAGAGCTGAGAATCACAACCACTTTTTCAAGATTTTGATAGCTTATTTTATTTGCTTGGCTTTTTTATCATTCAAATTTGGCTGGGTGGCTAATAACACATTTTTCTGTGGTGTGACAAACTCATAACATACTTAATTTGGACTTTACAGGGACTTTAAACAGAAACAGTGTCTGTGCTGGGTGAGACTGTCTACCTACAGAACAGCCCCCAACCTCACAAATGCAAATGCACAAAACTGGTGACACTAGCAAAACAGCAAGTTCATTTTGATATTGCACATCTTTGCCTATTTTGAGTGACATAGGAGAAAATGAGGCCTCACTTCCATCACACACACATATGCACTGTTGCTGAGCCAGTAGGCAACCGTGTGCGTCTATTTCCTGTGTTCAGAAAAAGTAGTCAAAGCTAAAAATACCCAAACTGGCATCATCACTGAGTCAGAGTTCTTATCTCTTTCCACACACATACAGCAAACGTGGCCCCAAACACAAACATGCTTCCCAACACACGATGAACCGCGAACACAACCGACTTCAATGCAGTGTGTGTTGAGGGAGCTGCTAAACGGTTTTATTTCATCACCAATGCTTTTACATGACATTTCCAGTTAATCAAGGATAAAAAACAAAACAAAACATTTTACAGGAATGACATGCAAAAAGATCCACCTCTTGCCTATAAGAAATGAGCAAGTGTTGACAAAAAATAAACACAATTTAAAAAAAAAGGGCACAAAAATCTGCCAAAATATTGGTCGACCACAAAGTAAACAGCAGCAATGTAACAAAGCTTAGAATTTTTTTAATGATTGTCCTTTAATGCAACTATTTTGCCTTAGAAAAGGCGAAAGGCAATGCCTACAAGAATGCTTTTATTTCATTTAAATTTCTATAAATGTTATCTATATTTCTCTGAATCTGTGCAATTTAACCAAATCCAAAATCTTGAGCTGCAGGTCTTAGTCAATAAGCATAACTTTTCATCCTTTATTTTTTTACAGCACTAAGTGGCATCTCAGTGCAAAACATTCACAGATGGTACTTCAGTTTGTATTTTCACACAAAGAGAGAACAGGAAGTGAGAAAAACTACCGGCTGGCATTACACATCCTGCTCTCATGATGAACGCCAGACCTTCGAGAAGGTGAGAGTGTTATTAGATGTCAAAGAATTCATCTCTCTCCCACAATTTTTCTCACTGTTGCACTTGTTCCCTTTCACCAAATCTCACTCGCTTTTTGTATGCCATTCATTCGTTCCCTAGAGCGCTGTCTGACCTCTTTCTACTGCACAGCTCTGATATGAGTGGCACATTTTCCGTAACAGGGACAGAGCTCAGAGCAGATCCAGGACAATGAGAACTGCTCTTCTGACAGCAGACACTCCAGCGGTGGGCGAAATTATGCCTTCATCTTCTCTTGCCCACACCACAGTTTCTCAAACTTCCTTTAAACTTCATCTGATTAATAATGAATAGCACAAATTAAAAATTGAACTGCTGAACAGAGAAATCCCCGCTCTAATACAAGTGAAAGTTTGAGTGTTCGAAGCTAATTCCTGAACCCGAATAACCCCGAATGAGAGCAGAACTGGTAGCACGAGCGGTTTCCTGTGAAGCTGTGATCAGGTGGCACGCTCTAATTACGCACTCTGTTGCATCTCTGAGACGACGCCTCTTAGTCATGGCTTTTGAGATGGCATGTAGCTCTGGAGAACAACCTTGCGCTGAAATCAGGTTTAATTATGCCCAGAGGTTTGACCCAGGGTAACCTTAAATTAAACACTGTGAGGCTTTAGAAACTGGTTGGCTTCATCACCTGTCTGAGACGCCCCCTCCCGTGTACACAGAAAATATCAGTTATCGAGGTGTTCTTTTGCTGTTTGACAACCCCATGTACCATTAAAACTGCCAACACATAGGCTCTGTTCCAAAACCTTGCAAGTTGGCAACCTAGATAGAAAGGGTGGAAATCTCTTGGCACCCCACAATTCAATTCAGAGAGCTGCGATGCGATGCTAAAACGATTATCAATGCATCTTTTTTTTTGTAGAGAGACTTTTAGACTCTCTACTTTTTTTAAAAGTAGAGAGACTACTTGGTACTTTTAAAGCAAAGTATTTATAATGATCCATAAAGAATTTACTTCCATTTGTTTTATTAATAAAATGAATATAGGAAATATTGGAAGAGATTTGGCAAGTCAACTAAGTTTACATTACCAACACTGCAAAGAACAAACAGGAAAATACATGCGTGCCTGTACTAACAGCATACTTGTAGCAGCAGCTCTCAAAAATAATGCTTGTGGACTTTACGCATATTCTGAATAATTCGTCACATACAAAGCCGCTCTTATATTCAACTAAATAAAAAGAGTAATAACTTGAATTTTTTGCTGTGTACCACAATCAAAAACAGCTTAGGCATAAAAAAAAAATAAAAAAATTGTTTGGTTCCGGTTTCCGACCGACCCTGTCCAATTATGAGCGACCCAAATTTATTTTATGAGCTTGGGGAAGAATAGGGCTCCAGTCTAACTTTTTTTTACTAGGAGCGCTGTTGCCCCAGATTGAAAATTTTAGGAGCGCAAGCAGAAAATTTAGGGGCACACCTTAAATCAGCTTGCAATGCAATTATTCTAATTTCCCCCAAAATAACTGTAATACTGACAAATTCTTTAATAATAAATACACTTAACATTATGATGTGCTGTTTTATTTTAACTTCACAGGGTTCCAGACTCAAAGTTGAGGGCAGCATCACCTCAAATGAGAACTCACAGAGAGTTCTTAAAAAAAAAAAAAAATTCTGGTAGCACTGGGGCTGACAATAAATCACTAAGCTTAATTTAGGGTGTAGATGAAATTAACTTAGTTATTATCATTTATAATGTCTAATATTAATTAATAAAAGTAGTGAAAATATGTGTGGAGTGAAAACAGCCAATAAACATCCTAATGTTTAAAATGGTATTATTATTATTTTTAATAATTAAGTGTTTAAATAAGAGTTTTCCAACATCTTAATTTTTTTTGTTTTAGGACAATCTTTAAAGGATGAACAAAAAATGTGTTGGTAATCAAATAAAAAAATTCAAAAAAATAAAACATTTATATATGATATTATTGAAGTGCTGGGAAAAGATGTGTAGT